TAAGAAGTTAGCAGCTTTTAACTCGACTTAATAGCTTAACCGCGTTCGCGTCGGTTGAACTATCGGAACTACTTTCACGAATGTTGAAACTCGAATACATTAGACTTGCGTTCGCGCATATCGCCGGTAGTAGGCGCGTATCGAACGATCAAGAGAGTCTATAAATTCGGGCGATTTATTATGCAAAAAGTGTTGCCGATGTCTTCTTGATGATTGTAAATTATGTGGCTTGCCTCGCGATTTATTAAATGCAAAAAAAAAAAAGTATAGTTTGCTATATTCCGAAAGACGATACGTACGTATTTACCTTGCGAACCGCGATATGCGAGCGTTGGTTCGGATGAAGTCCGGACCAACGCTCTCTCGCGACGTTATTTTTACAATCTCGGCTTCGCCGTCTCCTCGCCGCGACAGCTCTCTCGTGGTGTCTTACGAACTCGCGCGCGCGCGCGCGCGCATAAAGAGAGAAAAAAGTACGACGGGGGTATCGCGTTACCGGGTAGGTAAAGGTTCTCTCTTTCTCTTTCTTTTTTTTGTTTTTTTTTTCACTTTAAGGGAGAGAACCCGGACTCTCGGTCCAGGGATCTAATAAAATTGAGACACAGCGAGAGAGTATGATGAGTTGCTCAAAATTCGAGCCGACACGTAGCAAGTGCTCGGATTTTGATGGCTGGGAGATATAAAAATTTTCTTTTTCTCGCAGAGAGTCCCGGTCAAGAATTCCAGTATCGTGAGAAAACAAAATTAAAAAAAAAAAAAAATTCAATTAAAAACAAGTTTATACATATGTAATAACATAATTTATATATGTACATATAACTGGATCAGAGTGCGGATCAAAATTCGTAAGCGCGCGCTCTTTTCGAACAGTTTGGAGGAAGTTCTTCTGCAAAAAGTTGATTGTATACGGAGCCATCATCTTTTTCATAAACAAAATACAAACTTCCGTTTGAGCGTCGTATAAAATATGAGACCACGAGTTATCGTCATATTTCTAACGTTTGTTTCTCAAACAAAAAAAAATCAAAAACAAAATCCAGTCTGGAAAATCTCGCGTTTCTCGCGAGCGGAAGAACAACAGGGCACTCCGCGATCTCAAACGGACACTCGTTAACTTCCCCATAGAAATTGTCGAAAGAGACAAACGACGATCGCGTGGCTTGTTTCGATCGTACGTACCGCCGTCGATTCCGGCATCGCGATAAACGCAAGTTACGGATGTGTATATATCGTACAAGCGTAATCTTCGCTTTGCTTTTCTCGGGTGTATATCCGTGCGACACAAGAGAGAATCGCCGTTTCACGAATATATATATATATACTTACAGCCGGTTCGAGAGCTAGGCAGAGAGAAGATTCTAATGAGAGCTCGCTCACTCTCTCGCGAGATAAGCGTCGCGGTTGGGTAGCCCGTAACACGACGCATTCGTCCGTGCATTCCTGTCCGGTTTCCTCCTTTTCTGGTTCCCCTTTCGTGCGCCGCAGCATCCACTCCGCGCGTCTGCCGAGAGTAGTACGGCTCTTTCCCCATCTCCTTCCCGGTCGCGCGGGACCTATCTCTCTCTCCGCGGCCGTTCGTTTTCTTCTTCGTTCCTACGTCCATCTCTTCCTCTCTTACCTGACCGCGCGGCCTTCTCTTCCTTTTCCTTTTTCTCCTCAACCCTCGCCTCGCTTCACCGTCGTCCACCCCCGGCGTCTTTTGTCTTATTATTTTGTCGGCGCGCGCGGCCGCCAGGTATATCTTTCCTTTTTTCTCTCTCTCTCTCTCTCTTTCTTTCTTCTCTTCTTGCCGCGATCTCCGCATATAAACATCGCGGCTTTATCTGAACGTTTTATAGCGGAGAAGGTTTCTGCCGAGGACGAGGAGACCGGCCCCCAGGATCACCCCGAAGAAGGAGGAGAGACCGCGCGGATCGGTGCGCCGGCTCTTTCGTACTTCGAAGCTCGGGCGGAGATCACGAAATCCCCCCGTAGCCTATGTTACGATCGAGTCCTTCTCCGCGATTCTTCGCGATCTTCGTTTCCCCGTGTGCTTCCTCTTTCTGTCATCGTTCTCTCTCCGTGTGTCTTTTCAATTACAATGTTTCGCTTTCGCGCGAATTCCTATCTTTGTCTCGGGCGAATCCGATCCGCGTCGGATTCGAGAGACGGGCGAAATTTCGGCGCCGTTCTTGAAGGAACCGATGCGATGATAAAGCTTCCCCCCCTTGTACAAGACATCCTCGTAAGGAAAAGAAAAGAAAACGACCGAAGTCATTTGCATATTACGGCCGAGTCTCTTTTTTTTTTTTTTTTTTTTGTTTTTATTGTGTTTTCTTTTTTCTGCTCTTCTTACTGACTTTTTCCGCATGAAATACTTTCGGAACAACCGTGCATTCCGCTAAAACAGCGGAGAAAAAAAATGTAATGTGTGTTGTCTAAGTTTTTCACGAGAAAATGAGTTCGATTGGTTTAACAATGCGATTTTTCTCTTGTTTTTTTGAATCATATTTTTTTATATCAGACTTGGTCGATCGCGAATCATCAATCAATAGAATTTATATAGTAATTATTGTAAATTCTAATTACTTGCCGTTTTCTTGGTTCTTTTTGCTTCGCGAAGCAGGTTGTCTGTGACAGCCGTCTTAAAAGTTATGGTGATAAACCGATAAGCATGTAAATTAGCGCAACTTACCGCGTATTCGAGGTTGCCTCGCAAAGTTACGACGTGCAACCGGCGCGTTATGTCCGAAACCGAAAAACCTACACGAAGTCGTTTTACTGTGTCTCGCGGCGGGGAGCGCAAAATAAATCTAATAATAACTCCGCTAAATTTTGATTTTCTTGTTAACTATCGAATAAATTATTGATACATATGTATTTCGGTATATTTTGTGTATTTTTTCATGTATATGAGAGATAATTCTCCGAATAATTTATGTATAACTCGCTTTTACTGATTTAATTGCGGATTTAATTAACAAACTGTACACTAAGTAATTATTTCTGCATTCGTTAAGTATCTAGAAGAGAGCAACTTGCGCAGAAGATTGAGATCTCGGATTTTATGTTACAACTTGTATGATTTATATCTTTGTTTTGTATATAAATAGCGTTAAATATTTCTTGAATTTTATATTCTTTTATGTTTGGTTTTATTGCCACGTTTTATGACTTGATTTCCATTGAACGTCTCTCGCGCGTGCAATCAACGCATCCTGTTTGTTACTTCGCATATGAAAATTTAGACCGCACATAAGGTTGTCTAAGTCGCAAGACTCGCTGGAGTTGGAAAATTTATTCGCAAGTTGAGGAAGCGACTACAACTCGCAGTTGTTGCACGGACGTCGTGTTCGAAGACGACGCTAAACGCGACGCGAGTATCTATTTGAAGTTTGCTTGATGCACATGGTAAACACGGTTGTTAGTAATTGTTGCTTGAACGGATGCCAGTAAGATGCTCGTTTGTGCCAGTCGAAATGAGTCTTTCCACAACCCGAAGAACGCGGTTTCAAATCTATTACGCATGCAAAATCATTTGTTATTTCCGTTTAGACGTTGACTAAAGTGTTTCTGTGAGACACGTGTGTTCTCGTGCGGACCGGTTAGAAACACGCCGGCAACGTTCATTAATTGAAAATGATCCAGCACGAACTCCATCTCACAAGACTGTCTTACGTGTTAGCTATCGCATTTAATCTGCCGCCCAACAAATTTATTTCCCTCTCTCGTGATTATAATATATTAAATTTTATTTTATTTATTAAAAAAAAAAAAAAACGCAACTAGTTTCTCGTCGTTCGGCAGAAAATTAAGTAGACGTGTTCTTATATCGTTAAAGAGGAATTCTCTATTTTTATGCATAGTTATGCGCTTATTATTGCTTAATCTGGCGCATCATCGCGCCAATTTGCAATCATGATACGATAGTTCAATGTAATATGCGAAGTCAATCCGGCAATAACCAGGTAATCAGGCAATAATATTTTATGAAGTATATATAATATGCGTGTAATCTCTTCTTCTTAGTAATAAGATTTTATCATCGCGCCTATATCACACTTAAAAGACGCGTAATGTAATTCCGTAGAAGTCGTTTGGTTATCACCGCGTAACGCCTTTCTTTTCCTCTTACACTCAGACACTCTTTCTACGCAACGACAACCGTTCTCTCCTGCACGAATACGAGCAGCAGCTGTTTAAAAACTCGTCTGGGTTCGACGACGCGAGTTATTACGTAGGCCGTAGATCGTATAAGCTACGCGTATAAGCTACGTTCGCGGTAAAAAAACATTGAGATAAGACCCAATTAGCTTATCAATAAGAGAGGTAAGTTAAAAAAAAAAAGAAAAACAACATGCGATACTAATTACAGGTTTACATTGAAAATAAATGAAAGCAGTGATAAGATAATAAGAGAAGCTCGCTCGTCTTCATCACTTTCGTCGTAGGCTTGTGAATAATAATCGAGTCGAACATTTTGCGTTCACAATGCGAGTTGCATCATTACTCAATTCTGCTGTGCGTAAGATAATTTTTTGAGAGTGCAAAAAGCGACGCAAACAAAGATGTCGTTGCGTACTAAAGTATAATATATTCGCAAATGCTAAATATAATACTCCGACTTTTTTTTTTTTGCGACAATCCTGCGCGTTTTTACGATACGTCTTATTGTGCCGTCGCTCGGGCTTTCGTAACGCGAGAGAGACAAGTACGCGAACGCGAACGGACGAAACGCTCCTCCGCGTTTCTTTCTCTCGTCGTCGCTCTCAATCTCCAATGGCGATGCAAAGCACAAAGAAGTGTGAGAGCGACTGTAAAATTTATGAGACCTAACGTGCTCTTCGCGACGCGATCATCATCAGGCAAAACGTTTAACGATCGTCGCGCGGGGACCACTACCAACGACATTTTAGCAATATTTACGACGGCCGATTTTTTGAACAGCTTATTATTGTGGGGTAAGGAGTAGGTGGTGCGTGATGTGTCATCAAAACCGACGCGTATATATACCAGGCTTCCATATAAATAGCATTGTATTTCACATTTTTCTCGTTACAGTTCAATAAATATCTTCCAAAGTTTTATTTACATAGACGTAGGCGCGGAGGAAATTAATAAAAGAGAGAAACAAACGATTAACCTTTAACCGATCACTTCGGTTGTAAAACTGCAAGATTCGTGTTAATCCTAATAATCGATACGCAGAAAAATTCTGCAGAAAACGTTAAACATTGATTGAGTATAACTATACGTGTGTGAGCAATTACGTTAATTCTGTAAAGACGCTAAGTTGGCAGTTCTTGCAATCTCATATGTGAAAATTTGTAAAAAAGTTACAAGTGTCGCGAGTTATTGTACGAAGCCATCGTGTTTAGAAATAATTAAAAAAAAAAAAGTTAATAGAGATAGGTTTTCTTATTCGAAACTCGTATTCTTTTAAATTCAACACCGGTTAAAGGTTATTATGCACTCACATATTAGCACGATGATGCAATCGGTCGTTATAACGAATCATCTGTTGTGAGTGATAATTTTCTCTGCGACTATCTATAATTAACAAAATATTTCGCATCGACAGTAGAAACGAAACCTGTCTCTGATGTCAAAGTTTTTTATGGCACTAATTCGATCGTCTGCGAGCAATCACCAAACATCACATACACGCGCAAATATTCTTGCCAGACTTGCTTCTCCAAATACACGCACAAACATTTTTTGGGACGTTGAAAAAAAACATTCTAGGATTCTGCGAAATTCAGGAAACTTCAGGCCAGTTTTCATGGCTAAATTTTTCCCGATATTTCGGTAATACATTGAAGATAACAAATTTCAAGAGAAATATGTTTTCTTAAACATATGTTCTTTCACATCACTTTTTTTTAGAGTTAATGATGTTTCTTCCACAGTCTCTCCGCATAACATTACGTAGATACATCTTATCCGCGCTGACTTGAAGTCAGCAATGAAATCAGCAAGTACAGGAACGTAGAATAAAATTGCGAGATCAGTTTACAAAAGTTGTACGATAATCAGTCAGATCGTTGGCAACTACAGTTTCTCGAGCGCGCGACTGTTGGTTAGCAACTCTCTGGTGAGTCTCCATACTTGTTTAGCCGCGTTCTCCAGACCGCTGGGCGATTTTCCTTTGAAGAGATCGAGATTCGGTAGGAAGTAATGTGGGCACCTGCGGCACTGCAGACAAGAAATCAGCTGCAGAAAAATGCCGTTTATTCGCTCAGCCAGGCAACCTTCATCCCACTCGGCCTCATGGGGATGTTTCTCACACTCGTAAAGCAGCAGAGTCTTCATGTGATAACTAGTGACCGGATTACCCGGCAGATCAAGATGCCGGTCTCTCAGTGTCTTTAATATACTGAGACAACGCTTTCTGCACGCGCCTTGCAATAATCGATTCTCCGCGTCGATGAAAGACAACGCCCAAGCGTCGCCCTCCATAGCGGACTGTTTGCCCTGCAGACCTATGCACTCTTTTGAAAGCATATCAAAACCTTCCGTTTTCACCTCGGCAACGATGTTCGGATGTGGCCAGGGTATGTGCGCGATCGGCCAATGGGAAGCCGATCTGGGCCAGAGTCCGGGACATTTGAAGGCTGGTGTGATTTGTACCACGTATCGCTCTCGTATCCGTAGTTTCACTTCGGTAGTATCGGCAATCATTTTTACCGAATCCCGATACGTACATTTGTCGCAGGCTTGCGCTACTAAAGTCTGAAACCTCGAACGTATCTTTCTAGCTGACAGGTAACCAGACGCGGTAATAAACTCGACCCAGAGAGACATGGATCTCTTGCGGCCGTCGCTGAGTTTCAGAACGGCGCAACCCGGCAGGGTGCCATCGTCCACGAAGTTTAGCACGCCCATTTGATTCAGGTAGATGACAATCTCGAACTCCGTCGGCGAGATCACATCGAGACCGTCGAATCGGCCGTTGTAGTCCGTCAAGGACGAGATAAACCTCGGCTCCTGCACCTCCACTTCCTTCAGAACGTCCTGCACTACTCGGCACACCTCTTGAATCGTCTTTGCCACCTGACTTTTTCGGGTCATCACCCGTTCGCTGAAGTATTTGTTAAACTGATAGACCATCCTCGAATGGGACGAAATCATATCAGGCGGTACCAACATTGTGGACCGCCCTCCACCAAAAGTTACTGCACAATCTTCAATTTCTTCGAAATTATTACATTCTTACGTTCTTACACGTTTGAACCTTCCACTGTCTCTCGTTAGCATTGACTTGCTTTGCGCGATTTACCGCATTATATGAGCGCGCCAGGTTTGTCGGTATGGAATAAGCCAATTTTAAGGGTTCGTTTTCGGAACTCGCCTGGTGATCACCAGGATGCACTGTGTGCCGGAGACACGAACGAAGCGAGAGGAAGAGGTATCACGAGCGTCTCCGTGCAGGAGCAGATTGCCGACTGCGCTGTTGCCTACCTCCTCCGCGTCACCCGTTCTCCGTAGCAGAAAACGTTTATAGACACGCCTCTTTCAGCAAACTCCGCCTCACGGCACGAATCCCAGCCTATCGGCGGCTGGCCACGCCATGCGGGGCGTGGTCGGCTGCGCCAGACCGACAGGATCGATCTGTACACGAGACTTCTAGCAGCCTGTACGTGCACGACAGAGGGACGAAGGTAATGCGAGGTAACCCTCGTGGTAGCCCTTCTTCCTCCCCATGAATTATGCAGGAACTGCTTAGTTTATTTCCCATCCGCGAGGGCTCGGTTCCTCCTCTGGCAACCCTTTTAGTTATTCCGCAATTTTTGACATGGTGGATTACTATCGTGTCTGTACCGCCGGATAGAGTTACCTCGAATTTCTTCTACGTCAAAAACATTTTGTTTACAATGGATTAGCATTGAGAATCAGTGGACTGCAATAATTATGTTTCATTATAATAACTAGTTGATTGACACTATATTATTGATTTGTAGTCTTTGAAGCATAAACAAACTGATTTGAATATTTCTTGACACAGAATCATAAAAAAACTAGTTAATAATTTTTCTCGACGTGTAAAATATATATTGTTTTTGTAACAAAAAAAACAACACAATAAATAACACAATTTTGTGTCGTTAATGACAGTTGCATTTTGTATCATTTGTACGTTATATTTATATGTCAAAAGTCTCAAAAATGCAGATAGCTTTGCGTAGCATTGATGTCTCTTTCTGTTGCAAAAATACCGTTAGTTTCACATAACATAAACCAAAGTAAATGGTAGTAAAGGAAACTACAAGAGATAAGAGAAAAGGTTAATATAAAAGTTAATATCTTAATATAAATGCCTAACATAAAATTAAAAGTACATTGCAAATTTCTTGCAGCGGAAATAATGTTCAGTATGTCGAGATTCTACAATCAATAGATATCTTTATTGTTCGTGTTAGAGTGCAATAACACTTATCGAGCGCATTTGGAAATGGTCGAATGTGTGGTAAAGCAGAAAAAAAGTGAATGGCACCGGTTTACCTAACAAATGTCATCGTCAAAAAAGGGACGCAGAACGTTGAGGATAAAATTAAGATAAGAAAGTGTTATTCTATGTAGGTGTGCGTATATATAATGAAGATAGTCGTGTTTTGCGGCCAGCGAGCTGTTTCAGCGCTTATATACAATATACATATATACAAACTAACATGCAAGTAGTTGATGTATTAATTGTATATTGCAATCTGAAGTATAATGTATATCAGATAAATATGGAACTTTATAAAAGTACAAAACAATACCGCGGAGAGAATTAATTTCAAAAAATGCACATATGTTATCATAAATATGGAAATACGAAATAACAGAATAAAAACTGTCGTTATTACTTTCTTATAGAAAAAATGTCTTGTAGAGGATTATTAAGTAATATTTGTTGAAATGGAGAAGTGAAACGGTAGTTGTATTTTATAAATATTCCAGTTATGTGCGTACGCAAAAATATAGTTTCAACGTAGAATATAACGTGTGTTAGTTTTAAGGTACAGTACTTGGTCAATTGATGATGAATGCATTTAATTTCATTTTATTTACATTTTATATTTCAAATATAACATATATAATATATATAATTCGGTTATAATGTATAAAATAAATAGTATTTAAATAAAATACACGTAAAGTATATATAATCCACATATATACATATAACAATGTGTGAACAATCAAACTATTGACGGAGGAGAGAGTCCTATCGTTAACAAATTATATAACCATTGCAAATAATAATAATAACAAATTTTATATTATGTGATGCATGTATAGATGATCAAATACTTATTATAGACATTTATGTAGTGTATATTGCTTCTTGCATGAAACTTATAACATACGAAAATGTGATTATCACTTTTATAAAAGGATAAATTTCTTTCAAAGGATGTAGTGTGTTAGAAAGAAAGAAAGAGAAAGAAGAAGAGAGAGAAAGAGAGAGAAAGAGAAAATTTACTTTTTATTTTATCATAATTATATATTGCACACTATTTAAAGTATCTAATTTTTTTCAACAAAAACATAATTCATATATAGTACAACACATTATGTGTTTACATTATTAATTAACGCGATATATTATAACGATATTTTTTACTTAACTAGTCGCGTGAAATATCGTGTTCAGTGAATTCAATTATCATGATCTCTTTGCTTATTTTTATAAACTTTCATTATAAATTTATAAATTATTTTTACAAATTGTTTTCAAAACAACATATATAAGAGTGTCAAAATAATTACCAAACGTTTGTTATCGTACGATACTTTACTTTCCACGTGACTAGTTGTTGAACTTGAAAAAAAAAAGCTCAAAAGTTCGGCGATCTATTTAAAGTGTGTTATATTTGCTAATTGAATCGCGTTAATGTCACTAAAGAAGAAACCATGTGTAACTTAAAACAATTTAAGTGAAAACGAATCATTTGTAACAATGCACCATCCCTAAGCCTTTGATACAAGCATGTATTAAGTAATAGCCGTAACTGTGTATAGTATCGAGAAGCATATATAATATCCATGTGGCAACATTCTCGAGATCTTCCGATTTGTCGCTCTTCGTTGTCGCGCGTTTTTTTTTGTCGCGCAGAAAAACGCTAAAGTTTTTCCAGCGCACGGCTATTCGTAAGAAGCTCTCTTGTGAGTCTCCAGACTTGTTTCGCGGCATTTTCCAAACCGCTGGGCGACTTTCCTTTGAAAAGATCGAGATTAGGTAGGAAGTAGTGCGGACATCGCCGACACTGGAGACAGGATATCAGCTGCAGAAAAATCCCATTGATGCGATCGGCCAAGCATCCCTCGTCCCACTCAGTCTCGAGGGGATGTTTCTCGCACTCGTGCAGCAGCAGCGTCTTCATGTGATAGCTCGTGACCGGATTCCCGGGCAGATCGAGGTGCCGGTCTCTCAGAGTTTTCAAAATACTGAGACACTTCCGACGACAGCCGCCCTGCAGCAGTCTGGTTTCCGCCTCCGTGAAAGACAACACCCAGGCGTCGCCCTCCATCGCCGATTGTTTTCCCTGAAGAGCGACGCTCTCTTTCGACAACAAGTCAAAACCCTCCGTTTTGACTTCCGCCACCAGATTGGGATGCGGCCAGGGAATGTGTGGTATCGGCCAGTGAGCAGCCGATCGCGGCCACACGCCGGAACACTTGAACGCCGGCGTGATTTGTACGATATATCGCTCGCGTATACGCAGCTTCACCTCCGTGGTGTCGGCGATCATTTTCACGGAATCTCTGTAGTTACACTTGTCGCAGGCTTGCGCCACTAGTGTTTGAAATCTGGAGCGTATCTTTCGGGCGGACAGGTAACCGGACGCTGTGATAAACTCCACCCAGAGAGACATTGATCTCTTGCGTCCGTCGCTGAGCTTCAGCACGGCGCAACCCGGCAGGGTGCCGTCGTCAACAAAGTTGAAGACACCCATTTGATTCAGGTAGAGAACTACCTCAAATTCGCCCGGCGAGATAACCTCGAGACCCTCGTATCGGCCGTTGCACTCAGTCAGAGACGAGATGAAACGCGGCTCTTGCACTTCGACCTCCTTCAGTACGTCCTGCACGACCTTGCACACTTCTCGTATTGTTTTCTGTATCTGGTTCATGCGGGCTTGTACCCGATCTGCGTAGTACTTGTTCATCTGGTACAGCATCTTGGAAGGGCCGCCCATGATATCTTGCGGAACCAACATCATGACGCGATTGTTTGTTTCCGATGTTCGCAAAAACGTTCCCCGAGCGAGAGAGCCTCATTCTCATGCGCAAACTCACTCACAAATCAACATGTTATTGGTGTCGTTGTTGTTATTGTTGATCGTTATCCCGTGCATGATTCCGTCGGAAACACCCCGGGGACGATCGCGCGGTGCCCGATTTCGTCTCTCGATTCTCTCGAAAGTCGGGAAAGAGGGTGGGTTGTGGGTGCCGCTCAAAACTCGCAATTTTGTTAAAAAAAAAAAAAGGTTCGGCGAAACGGGTTACGGATGAACGAACCGTGCGTGCCTAATCGTGCGGCAGGTGTTGTACGTGCAACGAGCGCAGCTCGAGGTGTCCCGCGCGCGCGACGACAGAGAGAACGCCGCTGACCACCGGCTGGTTTCACTGCTGTTGTAGTTGTGTGCCTTGTTTCCAAGTCCCGCCTCCGGAACGACAGGGTCACGTGGAGCGTGCGCGTTGTTACCACGCCTCCTGTCGTTCCTCCTCCTCGTCGCTCCTTCTTCTGCCGCTCGTCGTTATCGATGGGCAACGATAAGCCGGCGGGGTTACGGAACCCTATATGACGTTCTGTCACTGGTGGTATTTCGATTTCTGGGGATATTTCTATGCGAATTCCCTAGATTGTACAGGAAAGCTGTTTGATAAAAAATTACAACACAAAGATTTTGTCACTTTATTAAGATGTTAGAATTGAAGATAAAAAAAAAATTTTTAATGTTCTGATTACATGTAAGATTTATTGTTTGAAACAAATACGACAAAATATGTAAATATATATTTTGTTTACTTTTTTATTTTGGTCAGTGTATCATCGCATGATGTAAAGTGACACACAACGCGAGTGATAATTTTTTAAATTATTTGTACGATACACTCTTAAGTCGGTGTTGGTTTTATAAGTTATATATTACGTATATATCGGCAGTTGACAGATTGATAATGAATGAATGAGCGATTCCACGGTACGATAATTTCGGACACGGTCGAGCGAACCGATAACGTTCCGTTGAAAGGATCATTTGAATAGTGGACGCTGGCACGAAAGGAAACGGAAAGTGTGGACGACATTTCCCACTCTTCGTTCGCGTATATACCGACACACAAAACGCGCATGTGCGCCTTGAATTTTATGTGCGTACACATCCACACATCGTGGGGCAGGTGTGTGCGACGTAAAATAGCTTACAAACACGAGATACTTGAGCCTTGCCTTTTTATACCGCGCGATCGTAAAAACTCACGCCACCCGAACATTCACTTTGGAAGAATACCGAATCCACCAAAGCGGAATATATCAGATATAGGCGACGCGTAAGATTTTGCCGATTAGAACCTTCGTATCTTCGGCAACCATCGCTGTCCGCTTGCTCGGATCTTTTCAACCCCTTTGCGCTCAAAAAAAAAAAAAAAAAACAGTAGCAAAATCTTATTGTTCACGTGTATAGGAATGTATACGTGCGGGAATCTTTTTCTTTTTTTTTTTAATTTTGAACATTTTTGTCGTAAAAATTAATCTAAATATTTTTGCAACATATATAATACGTCTCTTCCGATGCTTTTGCGTTCTACGTGCAAAACTTTTTGTTTGCCATTAGTATATAACACCGGACATATGTAACAATAACCGTCTTATTTGCAATTTTCTCCGTTATTTATCGTCATATTGTCAATTGACTATATATCATTCTACAATTCGTGTTATTTATACTTTTATATATGTTCCGCTCTCGCGCCGAAGCTGCGGAGCGAAACGAGTTATATACGCCCGCGGAGCGTCGCGCCACGTTGAATTCGTGCTCCTCGTTCGTAGATAATCGAATAAAGCTCGGGAATCCAATCTACTCCAAGTTGGAGTGGTAGATTGGTAACCCGGCGGTCCCTGCTTCGTTCTCGCTAATACGACTTGATTCATGAGCCGAGCACGTGTGTCTCGTACTCGCGCTCTCTGTCCCGCTCTTCTTGTTTCGCTCTCCCGTATCTTGCGTCGGTGAGCCGGGGGGGTCAAACGTTCTGCTACATCAGCCCTCGCATTAAGGCAGAAACCCGGGGGCTGCTTCCGCCCTAAATGTGCCTTTCATCATACCATTTCGACTTAATTCGTTTATCATTCGAATTATTTGTACACCGATGTTCTCGCGCGATCCGGTCGGACGTGAACGAATACGATCGCTACCGCGAAATCATCCTTCGATCAGAAGTTGAACGCTAAAAAGAATCAAACGAATTTGATTAAACGTGTATCGATATTTTACTAATATTTTTTATTCTCATAAAAAAAATTTATCTTCATCGATCGACTTGCAATCGATGATCGACATCTTCATCGCGAATAGAACAAGTTCGAGCAATCGACGCGCGCCAAAATATTTCGCTCGACGGCATATTGCGGATATATACAATAGACACACAGAAGAGCACTTTTGGTTTTCCTTGCGCAGAGAACTATCATGTTTCTATTGTGTAACATTTCTATCGAAGGATCGTGGCGCGCATCTTCCGCAGCGGGCCGCTCCGGTCCGCGCAGACGGCACGTCGAGTCGACCTTGTAAATCAGCTCGGATGAATATCCCCGCGTAATCCCCGAATAATCCGGGGACTCGCTTGCTTGAGCTTTGGCAGCCGGGTACGGTCGGCGATCGTGTAGTACGTATTTCACGGTTTCTTTGTCAAATGGCACGGAAAAAAAGATCTTTCCAAATGTTTCGGGAGGAGAGGTTTCGTTTCGAAAAGATCGCGTATCATTACGTAAATCCAGCACTGAAGAAAAAAAAACTACAATGAGAGTAATCGAACAATGCCGAATTGCTTACTTTGTTTAGACGCGCACACACACACACATCGTGTGTTCTGTTGCAAACGAGACGATTCCATCCGGTCACATTAGTTCCGGTGAAATAACCTCCGATGATATTGCAATCAGAATAAATTTAACGTTGTGTAATAATTAAACATACGCGATCATTTACAACATATAATTATTGCTAGCAGCGGAACTTTTATCCCTTAATATTTACGAACGAAATATAATTTCACAACGATTTCGTTTAAAGCAACAGCCGGTCCGCTCGTCTGTTACCGGAAACGCATTATCTTACTTTACGGTATTTTACAGAACCTGTGGAAAACTCGCTTACGGGTTAATTAAATGGAAAAACACGGGTCTGTGTGTAGTCTATCGGTCGTCATTAGTGCAGACAGCTCGGCGGTCTGTTGCCATCGCGTTCTGTACGTGTTTCGTGCTCGGCGACGATCTTCTCGTTACGCGCGATGTATATACCACGAGCGTGCTTTCGGATATTTTTTTTTTTTTGTCTATCGCGCGCTTGCGGCAAATTTAGCGGAACACGAGACGAGTCACGCCGCCCTTTGTGCGTTGCGCGCCGCGGTGTGTTATCTCGCGCGATGCTGCGGTAATAAAGGTATGAGAACACGCACGTGACACGCATAACTCATCGCTCCGGAATGGGTACCCGAATGTTTCGAGCATTAGCACCGACATGTTCACGGAAACAGACGAAGTCTGTTTCTGTCAGTAACACGACACCCCCTTGCAGCGTCATTGTTTTCGTGAACACTTACTTCCATCTCGTGACGTCATTGAAAAATTATTTCTGTATTTATTTTTTTTGTGATGCGCTAACGCTGATAAAAATCACAACGAATAAGCTGCGTATGAAATACCATGACAAAATGCCGAGTGACACGTTGTTACACACACACACACACACACACACATGAGAGCGTAACGTTTCGTCTTCACGAGCCATTTATGCGCCGAACAACTCCGTTTGCACACCGTCGTGATTTCGAAAGAGGCAGAGAGCCGAGTAGGGTCTTCGTAGGCGTCCAAGTGAGCTCGACGAGCGAAAGAGAGAGCAGCGGGTCCATTATTGTCCGGCGCTTAATCTGTTTGTTGTATATACCGCCGGCGGGCTGCTAAGTGGTATCCCATTCTACAGGGTATATACACCCTACGGGTGTGCGTGGATCCAACCGATCGAGGGATGCCCCCTTGCGAACGCGACACATGTTGTTACATCACGTCGCCCATTGTCGTCGCGGCGCAACAACCCCCCCAGCTCCCGGTCGGTACGAGGTTTCGGTCGAGGAGAGATGAGCACGGGGAGAGACGTGGGGAGAGAGCTCTAATCGCGTACCACACACTTGACACTGCGCGCGATCGAGGACCACTCTCTCTTAACCGCGTGTGGTCCTCGCCACCCAACCGCTGAACTTGTACTCGCGACATATATTATTTTTGCGTCCTGTCGCGCGTGCACGACGCTCGTTTTTGAAGCTCGATGACATCTCAAATAGAGCTCTTGAAATGAACACGCCGCATGTGCGCACATTACGAAGATGTATTTCTGTAGAAATATATCTCACAGAATTTCTCTTGCGCACGTGAGGAATAATTAGACAGCATTATTGTTTTTTTTTTTTTTTTTTTTGTTTTTTTTCAAGAAGAGAGAAACGTTGTGCTATATCTCGCATATGAGAGTCTATCTACGAACCCTTATCCACCCTTGACAAGATTTAATGCGTAATGTACGTGATGTATCTGTATTGCGCGGCCGCAGGTATCCAAGTAATAGATTCCGAGCAGCTACGCGGTCGTTATCAATCTCGAGCAGTGTTTGGAGAGAGTTTGCGCAGACCACCCCAGGGGTTGGCGCTTTTGTTACATTTGCTCCTCTTGGCTGGTTTCCAAACCTTGCGCATGGTATCTCTATGTGGCGCACACACACAATACACGTTCGACGGGATCACCGCCCTTAGATCCTTAGAATCGTCAAAAAAAACACAAAATGACAAATATCGCACTTAACGATAATTAAAACATGTTGTTTATCCCCGCGCTGCGCTAATGACGACCTACATCCCCCCGAATTTTTGCCGACAGTCATGCCCGACTGTTTGCCTCTTGTTACGAGTCCAATATATGACATATTTATGATCCCCGGAGACTCTCAAAAGCCGCTTACGCTCTTGTAATTTTGAAACGCGTCCTGCACGTCATCACAAGCGTTCGCACAACATGCGTCGAACGAAACTCGGAACGTGTTTTTCGATATGTTTTTTTTTTTCCTTTTTTCGTTAACCAAATTGAATTTTTGCGCGTTGTCATAATGCGAGAAGTTTACCTTGCCGCGACTTGCCGCGGTGATGATGACTATGTGAAAATATTAAGAAGTAAAAATATTGTTATGCAAAAAGAAACGTTGAATTCCGTCGTCGTTTCCGAGCCGTGTATATATATAAATTTCTGCGTTTTATTGATAATTCAGTTTTTTTAGCGGTCGTTTGTTCGTTAATCGAAACGATTACACTCATCAGAATTAAAATCACATATAAAGGCAAAACGCGCGCTACCCGTTTCTTGTTAAAATTTGACGACTGTTGTATTTAATGAGGAATTTTGAACGTTTATTTCTTACTCTCGATTTATGGTAAGTTTAGATTCTGTAATTCTCTCGTTCTCTTTGGGATCTGGTTGCCGTCGCGTCATAAAAAATTAATCAAGATGTTTGTAAAACGCGAATTTTATTGCTTGCAAAATGCGTTGATCATCAATACGTTTTTCATTTGAAGAAATAATGAAAAATAATCGAACGCCGACAAGAGAGAGAGAGAGAGATCGCAGTTTTCTATCGACATTCCAGATATCGAAATTCATTTCGCGCAATTTTCGATAAAAATCGATGTGTAAAATTGGTTTTTGGAACTTCGATATCGGCTCGCTGAGTAAATTTAACATCTGTTTTGGTTGTGTTTACACTTGCGCGATGGTTGTTGATTTTTTTTTTATCGCAAAAGACAGCTTCAACACATAACGAGAATCGCAGATAGGATCTTATTGGCATTTTGGTCGCGGATCTTTCGAATCTAATCAGCTGAATGGATCATTTCGGCGGATTATTTCGGGGATAATTTCATTCGCCGCGCATAAGGACATCGCGCGGCGGCGCGATACGTCCTCATTAAGAACCAAGAATTGAAGTCCTTGTTAAGACGCGGGGTGGTAAATCGAGATCCTTTACTTTGTCTCCCTCTTCTGTCTGTCTTTCTTTATTTCTTTCTTTTTTTTTTGTTTTTTTTTTTCACGGTGTGTTCGCCGATCTTGTTTCCTTCTACCCTGCTCGCTCTCTCGCCGAATCTCGTTCTTTTTGTTCTCCACCTCTCCCTCTTTCGCCAGCGAGGTTGTTCACGACTCGTTCGAGAGCGCAAGTCCGCGAGGTCCTGGGATCGATTCTCGGCTCAGCAGGAGGCTCCTCCTACCATGACGGCCATCTTGCAACTGGCACACTAGTCTCACTATATCACATCACACACCTCACTGCATCGCCGAGCTTGCATACTTATATTCAACCATGCCGCCTTTGGTCCCCAATGGGAATTTTCTTTGCGGTGTCCGCCCACACGTTGTGATATTGTTATCAAAAAACGCTTGTTTAATCGGAAAAGATATCGTTGCAATATGCTGTTGAGTTTGCGAAAATCCGAACAATTTTGTATCAACTTACATAAATCGGCGAATGTGCGCGAATTCGAACGCAAAGAATTTCTAAATAAAAAATTCCCTTATATAATAATTCCTAATATAAATCTTAAGGATAACTTCAGCGTTGTGTGAGTTAATTTCAAACTCGAATAATACAATTAGTGCGAGAAATAAAATAAAATTTATGCTCGCTTGAAAAAAAAAAGATTCTTTTAAAAAACGGTATTTTTAATTTTCTCTGTTCCAGGTGCTGAAATACTGCGACCATTTGCACGGAAAATGGTACTTCTCCGAAGTCCGCGCGATCTTCTCGCGCCGTTACCTGCTGCAGAATGTGGCCATCGAGATCTTCCTCGCGAGTCGAAGTAAGTGCTCCGGTCAATTTCTCTCGTTTTGTTGTTCGTCCTCAATCAAGCGCGCCGCTTTCGAACGAGAGCGCGCATTCCAATTTCTTGCTCTCACCCTTCCCGAAGTACCCATCTGCGTTGTTTCGCGCGACGAAGACGCGATCTAATCCGACGAAAACGGGCGGCGGAATTCCGAGCTCGCCGCAAGGTGTGCGCGCGAACGTTGGTTTTTACATAATAAATATCTCGCCCGCATTTACGGTATGTCTTTTTTCTAAGATCATTTTATTATTCAATCATCAACGTCCGCGCGCACCTGCTACCGCTGCTACATATCGCAATCTCACATTGCAAACGGTAGTTTCACGTATGTAATAGCTTCAATATTTTATAAATGATGTGATGAAATTGTCAATATAAAATCATCTTTAATATATTGATTAATTACACGGTATTCAGAATATCTTAAAAACGTTGAAATACGATCCATCCGTATGTTATCGAGGAGATGTTAAAAGCATCGAAGATATTGCGCGCGTCGCTTAAACTATCAACAATTTTCTCAACAACTTTTTGTTAACTCAAAACAAATTATTGTCGTAAAAAAACCCGCGGTTATTGTAAATATGGCGGATCGGTTGTATCTGCTTCTGGCCTCACTGCTGATTAGTTCTCCGGAACGCAAATAAATAAATTCCCGAGTGTCCCCTCGGATTCTAATCTGATCCTGACTTTCGATACGTCGTGAGGAGGACGTTGGAATGTCATCCCTGCGAGGTGTCTTCGTCGTTCAAAAAAAAAAAAAAAAACCAAAATTACTGGAAACGCGCGTTCATTACCCAACATCGGGAAACTTGCTCGGATCGCTGTCTCTTGTAATAAATCTCTGAATATTAAAGTCTAGAGAAAGAGAGAAAAAGTTTTGTTTTTTTACATATCTTTTAAAACGCGGTCGCGGTGTAAGTTTCACAGTCGTACGGTCACTGATTTAAGCGTTATTACGTTTATCCGAAATTGGACATGGAGGAGACTCTCTTCTTCTGTTCTCGAACGCATAACAGTTAGTTCTGCGCGAGAGACAGCTTCACGATTATCGCTTTTTGACACGCTATCGTGCGTACGCTATTAATTCACGTTATCGGACATTTGGGATACGAATAAGTAAGAACAGCTTCGGCGACGAACTGATTGTTGTCGCGCGGGAGCATCTGCTCGCGCACAATATACACGCGAATGTTTAAGTAACATTGAACAATATGCATGTACCAGCATAAGTTCAAAGGAAAACAGCTGAAGAGGACGTATGTGTCGTTTTCGTAATAACCGTGCGTAATGTTTATGTAAATAGAAGTCGTGCAAGTTATATTGACGAATTTTCAATAATTCTCAAAACAAGTTTAACCTTTTCGCTCCGGGACTGGTCCATATATGGACCAGCAAGAAAAGCGAACGTAATAGATGTTTATAAGGTCAATTTAATGCACTAAATTTAGGAAAAAAATTGAAAAAAATCCTGGTTACTTCTTTGACCTTCAAAATTAACTTTGAAGGGGGGGGTAGCAGGTTATTATTAACTTTTTCAGCTAAAATGCGAGGTCAATTTTAAAGGAAAAATTCCCGGAGCGAAAAGGTTAACAAGAAGAACGTTTGGTCGCATATTAAATTCTTGGATCAAAATGAAATGTGCATCTTACTCTTCCGTTTGGACAGCTCCGATAAATTACGGGGAAATATTTTTGTTAAGCGTCTTCTTGCACGCTATTCTTTGAACCCTCGTGGGAACGTCGCAAACGCGCTCTGGACACAATTGGATCTTTTTTCCGCTTTTTCATCATTTCGCACAGAAATGAAGTTAATCAGTTTTATTATCTAGAAATTTATATCGCGCAACAAAGTAATATTACACTCATTGATTTATTATCGCGCAACGTATTATCTTCATATATCGTTGTTGCGTAATTGAAAAAGATTAAATAATGTGATATTCATGTGATATCTATTTACAAATAAATTAATATACATCGCTGTTATTAATATTTTCGCAAATATATCACCAAAATAATTGTAACATTATAAACAAAAATTGTTGAGAAAAGTTGAAATTTTTTAACGGAGAAAGCGACTTTTTCTTGTCTATCGTACGTATGATTGATGTGCAACGTACTCTCGAAATATCGGGCGCGCTTTAACGCCTTTTTGTCCCGCAGCCTCGATCCTCTTCGCGTTCTCGGACCAGGCGACGGTGAAAAAGATGATCAAGGCGCTACCGCGAGTCGGCGTTGGCATCAAATACGGGATACCGCAGACTAGGTAAGTGATAACCGCCCGAAGACGCGAGGAAAGAAGCGCTTCTGTCATTCCACAGAAAGATCCGGAGATCTCAGAGCCTATTTCGAAACGCTCTTGTCACATTCCCCCGTTTCTTTGTCCTTTTCGGTAAGACGGTATTCCATCCAGGGACGGAGTCGAGGAGCTTTATTTTTTTTTTTTTTTTTTTTTTTATGTCTATAAATTTACTCCCAACAAAATATATCGTACATATATTATTGTAATTAGTGAATTTAGAAAAACAAATCATGACGGAGACAGAATATTCTAATTTTGATTTACATAATAATTCAAGTGGCAAAAACACACGGTTGTTCGTAATAAATTTACATTTTAATGTATTTAAAAAAATGTTTCTTGTATTCTCATACCATACTTACATTCGCGACGAGATTTATTTCATTCGAAAAAGAAAACGACGAAAATCAGAAAACAATAAAAACCAACGATAAATGATTTACAAATAAAAAGAACGAAGATGCAAACTTCGTCCCTGCACGAGATTCCCGTGTCTTCCTTGTATTGTCACAGACACCGAAGAGAGAGAAAGAGAGAGAGAGATCCTCGCAGGATACCGAGCCTGCCATAGGTCGGCAAGTGTTGGCGGTAAGAACAGAGGTTCGCGTATCCGCGCTTCTCCCTCGACTCATCCATTAGAACGCTCCTATACACGTATATATACGAGAGAGCGGACGAGAGAGGATACATCGACCATAAATATACGACCGCGAACTCGGACATGTCTGATCCGAGGAGAAAAAATTCCTCTAGCTAACAAAAAAAAAAAAAAAAAAATACAACAAAATCTTTCGGTGTATAAAATACAAATCTGACGTTGTGAGATACGTCCTGAACGAGTATTACGTCGCGTCAGGAAATGCTATCCGCGAAAGCTTGTTAAAAACACGCAGCTTGTTGCAGACTTGTATATTGTCGTAAAAATTTTACGTTTATATTCCTACTGCCGTAAGATACGCGATTTATCGAAGAATTCGTGAAAAATTGTTTCAAAAATTTTCACTAAAAAATAATTAATATATGCGCGCATTTAAACAGTTACGACGTCGCGAAAATTGCAATTAGCATTTCGGTCGCAGCAAAGAGGTTTTTTCACGCGATCGTGTGTAATTTACGTGAGATGACACGTTCAAAGACCGAATTTATACGTCCGGTCTCTTTTTAACGTCGCGAAGGACGAACGCGCCGGCCGTTAAAGTCTCTCGGTGTAAATCCTAAAATCAGCGTTCATCTTCGCGTTCATAAACTTGCGAGACTGGCGCTTTATGGCGTGAACGCAAAACTGCCGTGGTGAGCGCTTCTCGGCGTATAATTGCTCTTATGAATTGAGACCGACTCTTAATTGCGTATCAAAGCTTGCGCTTTGCGCCGCTCGCGCTCGTTTGATATTCGGTAATTAAGGTTCACAGAACGCGATGCCGCGACGACGTAGGTAGGTAGGTATATCTCACACTCTGCGAGATTTTACGCACAATTACGCCGTTGTGTTACGGCAAACCGTAAGAGACGTCTCGATTATTGATACTTCATTGTTGGCGAGATTCACCTTCAAACGCGAACAAGCAAATCTATATGTTCTTGTTTTCACGTGCCTACGCAATCTTTTGAATGCTTCGGTTTAACGAGCAGAAAATGCAAAGGTTTCGAATACACGTGGTATAAGAGATGGGGTGAAATTTTATATTCGATTATGACATCACGTTAACGACGTTGTTAAGGACGGAGAAACGTTTTATTATTATAATAGTGTATTTGTGATATATTTTATCAACTTTCTCATTTTATGAACAATTTACCGTATTTATCCGCTGCAATTGTGTTAAATCCTTAATAAATAATACAAAAAATAATGAAATTAGAGTGTGTGCGGAGTCAACTCAACTTGTTGACTTTGAACATCGACATGTTGACGTTACAACTTTACAATTTTTTAACTCTTATGGACAATTTTTTGTAACGTGTGACTAATCTTTCTGTAATTAGACCACACGTTCCGAGAAGCTTTAATCAACTTCGCATCTACACTTTAATTTTTTTAAATTATTGTTTGGTATTTTCTGGTTTTTACATGTAAATCGATCGCGACCGATGAAGACTCACGTAAGAGATCGAAACGTTTCGCAATTTTCCGTACACATGTGATAAACTACCTAAATATATCAATCTGTTTCCGGCTCGATCTTTGACCTCCCGTATTCTTATTATTGTTTATATAACGAGCGTATATATATATATATATATATATCTCATATCTCACTTTGTTAAATCCTTATTTTACAGACGAGCGTCGTTAATGTCGCCGCGACAACTGATGAGAAGCTCAAATATGACGCAAAAGTGGCAGCGTCGAGAAATATCCAACTTCGAATACTTAATGTTCTTGAACACAATTGCCGGTAAGTATATCTCTATATGCAGTGATCGCAAATCGCGATCGATCGATAGCGCGTTCGATTCCTGTAACTCAGGTAACATCGCTAGATCATAGAGATCGTAAAAGTAGCGAGGCTGTCGGAAGTTTTTTTTTTTTTTTTTACGGGGTGCACACGGGCGGATGGAGTCTGTCGCGACGCATTAGGGATGTTCTCAATCAGCTCCGTGTTCCGTTAGCTACCCCCCATGCGAGTAATCCCGACCTCATGGGCCCCGGTAATCCTCTCCCGAGAGAGACTCACCACCACCCCGCCCTCGCTGAGGGCGAAATAGAAGCGCGCGCGTCTTTGTTTCTCTCTTCGCTTTAATATCCGCTCCCTCGCACGCTCATCGAACCAAATCACGAAACTCGAGACGTTTGCCGGCCTCGTGTGTGCTTTTTAATAGGACAGTTCTCTCTTTTGACGAGACGTGAGTCTCACGACGAGCGAACTCGAATCGCGAACGCGCGCTGGTACGGTATTCTCGATCACCTCGCTAGGCTTTTTATCGACGTTAATTTTTTTTTCTTTTTCTCCCCGACTTTTAATCGGAGATTTAATGATTCTCACGCGCGAGTTCGCTCATTGCGTTTTTATTATCGTGCGCGATAGGATAATTTATCTTTGAATTTCACGGAAGAGAGAATTCAACCGCGCGCACCATTTGTCTCTTTCGTATATTACACACACGCGGGATACCTTAGAAGAAACAAACGTATCATCAAACGATTCTCTTCACGTGCCGCGAGGTTCATCGACTCCCAAGAGTGATCGATCTCTCACCGGCGATTCTCTTCCCCGTTCTCCTCTCTCTTTCCCCCGCGGGCGAGAGACTTCTTCGATAATAATCGTCGGTGCGCACGCACGATTACCGTTCCGGGCGGCAGCATCGTCGATTCGTCGTCGCAGGGTGTATTAACCGAGTGTTCGGCCGTGATTCTTGTAAACAAGTCGACGGTTAGCCGCGCTCGCCCGTTATATAAAAAGTTACGCCGCCAGTGTGGGATTTATACGCGCCCACGCACAAGAGCGGGATCGGTCGCCTTAATGACGGCGATGAGCACGGACGCGTAATTATTCGGATTTCGGCGGAGCTTGCCCGCGCGCGATGCCCGGGGGTGGCCGCAACGCCGTATTTACGAGGGTTATATATTAATTGCTCGAATAAATAGCCGTAGGTATATACTTTCGCTCGGAACAGCGCGTCGACAGCGGGAAAGAGAAAGAGAGAGAAAGAGAATCGGTACAAAAACGAACCGGTCCGCCGCCGCACCGCGCTGCTGCGCGCTCCCGCATACGATCAAGAATTTATTTGCTCTCGCGGGCCCGCGTACGCGCATCGGTTTATTAAAAATTAATGACAGCGCGAATCCGATGTAAATACGATATAGCCCGCACTGTGGCGGCCAGCGGGTACGTGCGCGCTAGGCGGATCATGAAAATCATCTTCCGATCGTCGGAGACGATGACGACGAGAATTCTCCGACAAAGAGTCTCTCTCGAAACTCGGACGGAGATATACGTCGGCGGGGAAAGAATGACACAAATTGTGACGAATTCTTTGAATAAAATAATTTACAAAGAGAGTCAAAGATGTATGTACAGTTGTGTAATTTTTCATTGAAAATTATATTAAGAGCTTTTTTTTTTTTCTGAGAAATATCGCGCACGAAATATATATATATATATATATATATATGCACAGTTGTCGACATCCGATCTGCGGCATGCCGATTGCAAACGCATTCCGATCTTAACTCTTCGCGATGTAATTCCTTTAGGCACGTCCCGGAGATGCGATATTTTAAGTCCGTTTAAGTAACGTAAGTAAGCAAGTGTGTAAATATATAACCTGGAAGATCATATATAATGAGCGCGGTTGTATTGATATACGGACGCTTTTGTGGTGTGTAAATCTGCCGTATTTATTTCCCAAGATGTATGCAGCTCGTTTCACATACGCCGAACGGCTGCGGTCTTTCCATTTCCAGGTAGTTGCCAACAGGTCGTCGCCTGCGCTTTCGATCGTATCTAGGCTGGTCCTGTTTTACGGTGAATTATTATCGAGGACGCAGCGACAGTTCGATAAAACGACCGACCGACCAGTCGAACCATTCACGCGTACAATCTTTTCGTAATTCCGAGATATCACTGTCGAAGTCGAAGATTCAGCAAAGTAAAATTTTTTTCACAATTCTCTCTCGTCTTCGTTAGATTCTAATTAATTATTTATATACAATATTTATATTTATATTTATATGTTACTTTTTTATGTTTATATTTCTAAAAAAAAAACAATCGAATTAAAAACAAATACGCGCGTTGTTTCTTGTTGAAAACAGAAAAATCTTGATGAAAAAACAAATCGTAGAATTCTCTCATTTTATTAATAATGTTTTTCGCGCAACTTTTCTCGACAGCAACCGCGCAAGTTTGACGATTTATCTTCATCTGCGAACTCACGTCACAAATATCGCTCGAATTTTTTTTCTGGAAAGTGAGACGCGCACGTTGCGCGTTCGCGGAGAGCGAGACTATAAGGACTGAGAAATCCTCGGACATGAGAAGGGGGTGTCGCGGACATTCCCGCTGTCGAGGCGCGTTGCTCGAACGCTCACTCACGCCGACGCTACCATTAATAATCACTTTGATGCATAACGCGGCCCCGCTATTATTTACGCCCGGGTCGCGCGAGGCTCACGATTTACGGGCGTATTGTAGGAACGGTCGGGATTTTACACAGCGGCTGCTGCAGAGTGTACGAGTTTCTCTTGGTCTTCTTTTCGTCGCGGAATTAAATATCCGCCGAAATTTTTCGTGCGTTGACAAATGACTTTTACGCGTCGATACTTTGAAACGCATTAAAAAAAAAAAAAAATTATTTTGCTACAACAAAAATTGCGACAATACCGAACAACTTTTTATTGTTTAAAATAAAAATATTCGTAATTGTGATTCATTTTGCAAACATTTTATCATACATCGTGATTCCGTTCGCGCGGTACACGATTATTAGAGAGAGTCTACTCACAGAGAATTCGATCGCTTCGTGAGCGCGATAAACGTTTCGCGTATACTATTTCGCGACGAACGAAAGCGACCGACGTAACGGGAGCGATGAGGGAGGCTGGATACACGACACACGTGTATCCGTCATGCGGGCGCCGAGTGACAAACTCGCTGACGTGCTTTAATTAGCGACAGGGAAAGAGATTAGAACTCCACGAGCCCTTGGACCGCGTTCTGCCGTCGCTAATGCATCTCGGAATGGGATTCCGCGGAGGTTTCGAGGGGAGGACACGAGTGAGACCTCTGGGAGTGACAATTTCAGGAGCGATTAGCCGTCACGCTCTGAGTTATGCGCTTACTAAACGGCGCGCCGCGCCCCATTGAGCCACACGGCGCGTTTTTCGTAAAAATAGAATCGAGACGGGCGCGCGAAGATCTCGCCGTCCGCTCTTTCATCGCCCTTTGGAATCGAGGCGGCGCGGGGGCGCGAAATATGAGGAGTGACCGTAGTTAAGACGCAGGGTCAGGACGGGGAAAAAAGTAGGCCGACGATTATCCGCATTAAAAAAAAAGAAACACCGTTCTCCGTTCGTCTATTCTCGGCAGTACATAAGGAGGAATTTAATTTAAGCACTTACTCGTTTCTCTCTTTGACTTTCTCGTATTTTATTTTTTTCTCCTTGCCGCGGAAGGTTGAGCGATGATTTAGATTACGCGAGAAGAAAAAATAAAATATATATACATATATATATATAGCCTCAGCCTCGTTACGAGATTTAGTGTTGATTTTTTTTTTTTTTTTTTTTAATGGGAAATGCGAAACACACGATGATGATTCAGCCAACGTATAAAGGTGGTAATTTCACTAACAATGTATATTTCTGCTTGTGAGTTATACTAAAGGAAGTGAATTCATCTTCTTTCAGGTCGTACGTACAATGATTTGAATCAGTATCCCGTATTTCCTTGGGTGTTAACGAACTACGAAACGAAGGAACTCGATCTCAGTTTGCCGAGCAATTACAGAGATTTATCGAAGGTACGGCTTTTTTTTTTGCACAAATTCTCTCTCGCATAGACAAACGGGTAAACCGATTATTCTGTCCGATTTTATTTCTCTTCTTTGTGCACACGCGTCGGAAGATACATCGATGCGTATCGCGGCGAATTTTCTAATGCACGGGCAATTTTAAAGAGATTTGCGAGATTTTTGATATTTTGTATATTTCAGCCGATCGGCGCGTTGAATCCAAACAGAAGAGCTTACTTCGAGGAGCGCTTTCAGAGCTGGGAACACGACACTATACCGCCTTTCCATTACGGCACGCATTATTCCACCGCTGCCTTTGTTTTAAATTGGATGATACGCGTGGTGAGTACACTGCTGTTTATTAGGTTTTTTTTTCGTATAAATAATTTAATCGATATACGTTTTAAAACAATGTTATCTTCATCGACCTACTCTACATCTTCGAGAGAACATATATCAGGTAACATGTTGTAAAATGTTAATTAAGACGTCGTTGAGAATCTTGTAAAGATTCTCTTACATCAAATTAAGAAGCGAATAAACAACGTCATTGAATCTTATATAAATGATTCTCTCGCATTAAACAGCGCAAATATATGACGTAAAGGATATTTATTCGCATGATAAACGTATAATTAGCTTTCAATCGCGGAGAGATTTTTTGGCCTTTCCATTTGCAAAGCGCGTCCAGTCTGCGTCATAAATTTAAGCGACACTTTTAGTACCACGCGCGCACTAATTTGGGGGCGTCGAAAACGCCCTTGTGTTCGCCAGCGACGCCCGCCTTTCTCTCGTTAAATATACACATTTGTGTTTTCTGCCGCATTTCCTCGTTCGCTTGAAATTCAAGGTCTAACTGGAAAACGTCTTTATCTTATTTTTGCTCTCGCCGAAATTGCGTCGATCGCGATTGCATTCGCGAAACCACGATGATTTCTTTGTGTAATTTTTTTTTAAACTACGTTTATTCACGATTTTATTTATTCCGACCGCAGCGAATTTAATGTGAATAAGTTTTTATTTAATTGGCCTTCAATATCGTTTTAAAATGCGTTCGAAGTACTCTGGTGTTATTACGTATTTAAACGTGAGCAGCGCAACACGGCACGTCTAATTGTTTATTCACTTGTATGATGTTCCGGCGCACTGAGATTGTAAAATATTGCATCGTAAACAATAATTTTTATCGGTCTGCAAATGTACGTTTACTAGACCACCGCTCGTTGGAAATATGTTAACGACTTGGTTGTAACGTTATTTCGGGATCTTATCATGAATGAATAATCGTAGGTATGCGGATCGTAATATACGCAAAAATCACGTTTACGCTTTCGCGTAAACGTATAAGTACGTTGATTATATGTGTGCGGGTCTCTCGCTGGCGTTCGTTCGCCCGTCAACGAACTGGATGATTGACTAGGAACGAAAAGAGGGTTTCGCGCTCACAAAGAGCCCGCCTCTGTGAAGTGTCTCTAAGTGGCGGTTTAAAGTCGCGCCGCCTTTTTCACGTCCCTTTTACACTCGTCTTCACGTATCTTCTTATTGACATCCCGAGAGAATTCTGCGTTGCAACAGAGAAAGAGAGAGAGATAGAGAGAGACTAGAGTCGAGTAAAATACACCCGGGCTCTTTTAGTTTTGTGAACAAATTATTTTTCCAGGAACCGATGACGACTATGTTCCTGGCGTTGCAAGGCGGTAAATTCGATCATCCCAACAGACTTTTTTCGTCGATTGCGCTTTCGTGGAAGAATTGCCAACGCGATACATCCGACGTCAAGGTTCGTTGCATGTAATTAAGATACTCGCGTCATTTACATTCCTAGTCACGGTGTTGCTGAAAACAGTTTTTTATTCATCATCTTGTTGTTAACATTAGTGCGTAAATTTTTACAATTTTACGCGTCGCTCGATATAACACCGGAGAGATTGGGCGGAGCTATATGCAATTGTCTTCTCATTAACAGGAATTAATTCCGGAATTCTTCTTTCTGCCGGAAATGCTGGTAAACAGCAATCGTTATCGTTTGGGCAGGCAGGAGGACGGTAACCCGGTCGGTGACGTTGAATTGCCACCTTGGGCTTCGTCTCCCGAAGAATTCATTCGTATCAATCGAATGGTAAACAATTTTTTTTTTTTTTTAACAGAAATGGTACTTTCTTTTTTTTGCAAAATCACTTTTTTTTTTTTAAACTCTATTTGTGTTTGTTTGTAGGCACTTGAATCCGAATTCGTGTCTTGTCAATTACATCAATGGATCGATCTGATTTTCGGCTACAAGCAGAAAGGTATGATTAATTTTAACACGATCATTTTTTTTTTACAAAATTCTGCAAATAGATTGAAAATAAATGAGTTTTTGTTTTTTTGACGTAAATTTATCACATTAAATTTATCAAAAGTTCGAAAACTCGTATATTGAGCTGATGAACGTGTCCAACGCACAATAGCAGACACTCGCGAGTGTCCACAAGGTTACATTCTCTCCGTGTTGAGACAGGAGGCAGTCGAGTCAAATTAGATTTACACCAATGGTAATTGTCGGTGGCGCCTCTATATCCGGCGCTTCCCCGAAGATGCTGCCTCGGCGAGGAAAGGTGCCGGCATTTGAGGGTGCGCGTATGGAAGGAATTAGGTTTTTAGTTGGCTTCCTCTCTTTCACTCCCGAGCCCTGTCCCGACCAATTAGGCACGTGTGCCAAGCGCGACAATGCGTCCCCACCCGTAATACGCAACACGTTTACAAGAGCGCAGCCGGTAGCACGAAAGTGGAGCCAGCCGGAAATACCGGGCATGAGCAATCAGCGAGAACTACTCGGAGAACTGCTCTCTCGAATCGTCTCGACTACGTGGCTGCCAAAGAACAAGCCACAAAAATTGTAGCGGAAACTGTAGCACCAACGTTGACGATTGATTTGATTTTTTTTTTTTTGCAGGTCCGGAAGCCGTACGCGCAACCAACGTTTTCTACTATTTAACTTACGAGGGTAGCGTCGAGCTGGACACGATCACCGATTCTATGATGAGAGAAGCTATAGAGAATCAAATTAAAAATTTCGGGCAGACGCCGTCGCAGCTCTTGATGGAGCCGCATCCACCAAGAAGCTCAGCGATGCATCTGGTGAGGAATTATATTGTATGTGAAGAAAAGTATATGTTAATTTTTTACACAATTGTAAAACAAAAAAAAAAAAAAAAAAAAAAAAACCGACGAACAATATTTCTCTAGTCACCGATGATGTTCTCGAGCATTCCGGATGACGTGTGCATGACCATCAAATTCCCGTCTAATTCGCCGATCTGTCACATCTCGGCCAACACTTATCCTCAACTACCACTGCCATCGGTTGTGACGGTAACCACCGGACAACAGTTCGCTGTCAATCGGTGGAATACCAATTATGCGGGTAAAAACTATTTTCTTATAAGTTGCAAATATTTAAAACTTGACGCATCTCTTGCGTGATTATTGTATTTCGAAACTTTCTTTAGCTTCTGTGCAATCACCGAGTTACGCGGATACACCTCAAGCACAAGCTGCCAATCAACCATTGTCCATGGATCCTGTTCTTTGTAAGTGTATTTACGTACGAGTTGAACATTTTTTGAAGATAATATTCTTGGACTAAATTAATTAACGCAACGTTTATTAATGTTTTTTTTTTTTTTTTTTTAATTTTAATTTCTAGCTCAAGCAACGAACAGCTCGAATCCAACGCTACGTCGCCATCTGGGCGACAACTTCAGTCAGAAGCTCAAAATTCGCAGCAATTGCTTCGTCACTACTGTAGATAGTCGATACTTGGTGGCCTGCGGCTTTTGGGACAACAGTTTCCGCGTCTTTTCAACCGAGACAGGTAAATATCAATATTCCACGTTACTTCACATCGGACATTGAGCCAAGTATTTTTACAAAGGAGAAAAATGTTTTTTCACTTTGCAGCGAAAATCGTTCAGATAATCTTCGGTCATTACGGAGTTGTCACGTGCTTGTCGCGCAGCGAGTGCAACATCACTTCCGACTGTTACATCGCGTCGGGAAGCGCGGACTGCACCGTTCTTCTCTGGCACTGGAACGCCAGAACGCAGACTATCGTCGGCGAAGGTGAGGCGCCGGCACCACGGGCCACTCTCACCGGCCACGAACAGCCTGTGACGGCCGTCGTCATATCCGCCGAACTGGGTTTAGTTGTCTCGGGATCGCATTGTACGTATCACAAATTCAAGAAAAGATAGAGAAAAAAGTAATGAAAAAAAAAAAAAAAACAAAATTCTACTTTTATAAATCGTTACACTATCGATCTGGATTACTCGTAATTTTGACCGTTTGATGTTACAGACGGTCCGGTACTTGTTCACACCACTTTCGGCGATCTCTTGCGATCGCTCGAAGCGCCGGACGGATTTTCGTCTCCAGAAAACATCGCCATGTCGCGCGAGGGTGTGATCGTGGTGAATTATGAACGCGGAAACATAGCGGCGTTCACCATCAACGGAAAACGCCTTCGTCACGAATCACACAATGATAATTTACAAGTAACTCACTTATTCACACATTCGTTATATACTACAATGAACTTTGACGAGAGATCAATGAACTTTGACGAGAGGTTAATGACCTTTGACGAGAGGTCAATGACCTTTGACGAGAGGTCAATGACCTTTACGAGAGGTCAATGAACTTTGACGAGAGGTCAATGACCTTTGACGAGAAGTCAATGACCTTTACGAGAGGTCAATGAACTTTGACGAGAGGTCAATGACCTTTGACGAGAGGTCAATGAACTTTGACGAGAGGTCAATAAACTTTGACGAGAGGTCAATGACCTTACTTTAGTCGCGTTTTTAAAAACACAAAAGTTCAGTCACGTGACTGTAGTTATGTATTGTTTTCTTTACTTTTTCCTGTCACTATTTTTCGAGTTTGATTTTCATGCGTTATGTTTGACATCTCTTATATGGATTACATTACATGGTTTGTAATATATATATACTAGGTGTTATCGTGTTGACAGTCTGTGTTCACTGACACAACACGTCAAAATAAAAACAACAATAGCGTGCGCGTAGCGCACGCCTGTGTTGTGGTAGTAAATTAAAAAGCAATAATTTTGATGCAACTTCATAGCAAAGCCATTTACGCCGCTGCTTGTTCTTGCTTTGTTTTCAGTGCCTACTACTGAGCAGAGACGGTGAATATCTGATGACGGGTGGTGATAAGGGTATTGTAGAAGTCTGGCGAACTTTCAATCTCGCTCTACTCTACGCGTTTCCAGCGTGCGAAAGCAGCGTGCGTTCTCTCGCGCTCGCTCATGATCAAAAGTGAGTATTCGAGAACGTAACGAAAACATCTCGTTAACATTTTCTCAGCGCAGAGGATGATAAAAATTTTCCAAGATCTTGAAAAAAAAAAAAACAAAATTTAACAAATATTCGCGGCGCTAATTAATGTAATATCGATGCGATTTTGTTTTTGCAGGTTTCTTCTAGCTGGTCTAGCAAACGGGTCCATCGTAATATTCCACATCGACTTCAACAGATGGCATCACGAGTTCCAGCAACGTTACTGAAATTACGACTTTCTCTTCGCCTAAGAAAAACAAAAAGGCGCACAATATATTATAAATCGCGCTTAAACTCTCTTTTCACGTATAATACGATACTTCGGAAAACTTACATGTACCGGACGGACAAATGGCGCTACGATTTCCCGTTCAATCGTGTATCCGCGATTGTATCACGGCGAAGAATCGCGTATTATTTCGCGACGTTTGTACCGTCGGTCACTAACTTCTCGTCGTAACTATTTCTAGATTCGCCGCAGTTTACGATTACGCAAAAAAAAAAAAAAAAAAGGGTATTCTATCGTTTCGAATTAGGTGCAGTGAGCGGCAATGAGACGAGCGTGACGTACCTCGAATGTTTAGCGTTTAGCAAATTAAAACCCGCTTTCCGCGTGGCTGCGTGTAGTGCTTCCGTAAAGAGATATATGCGGAGCGGAGCGAATCGGAAGAACGTCAGATGGTTAATCCGCCAAGCGAATGTGTCGCGAGTCACGTCGCACGCTTGTGAAAAAAAAAAAAAACAAAAACATGAAAATTACACGCGTGCCGCTCGAAACGCTAGTCAATTAATGAAAACTCGAATACTTACTTACCCTTGCGTGTCCACGTTCGCAACAATTTGCGAACCGCGATCGCGCGATCTCTTCTCACTCGGCGCGCGAAGGAAACAGGAGAGGGTACACTGTCGGGGGAAATAAAAAAAAAAAAAAAAAGTAAAATCGCGCCGACGCGGCGATAAGAAAACCGCGTCGGCGAGACGGGCGGATGAGCTGAACATACGTTATTTTTATGCCTGAAACTGCACGTGGATTTGGCCCACGACACTTTAGCAATTAATGTCCAGTGTAAATACGGATATATTCTTCACGTTATATATATATATATAAATATACATACACACTCAAATACATATATACACACACAAAATATATACATATATATATATATATATATACATATATACATACACGCGCGCGCTTTATTCTGTATTAGAGGTGGCGAGATAAAGACAGGCGTGTGTTTATCACGAGGGGGTTTGCAATTCATTCATCACAGACGTATTAATGTCGCTCACGTCGAACTTTTTGGCTAAGCACCTTGTACGTTCAGTTCGGACTACACGCACGCGATCGCACCGCGCGTTTAAAAAAGAATAAAAAAAAAACAACACACTGACACCTGCGCGCTCCGATGGATGCTTGGCGAGGAAACAGGAAATCATTCGCTAAATCATGTCGTTTATCACTCATCGGAGAGAGTGCGGTGTTAGTCCGCCCTCCCCCTCCCCCCAGCTACATTTTCTATATCCTGATATTCGCGTCCTTCGAAAGAGATCCTAATTTTTATCAAAGCCGTCCAGCTTAACTTTTGCGAGGATATTTCTTAGTATTTTCGCACGCTACGTATATTAATCAGCAAAGCAAGTTATTTAGGCTAAAAAAAAAAAGAAAAAAAAAAGAGAGAGAACAAAAGTGACATCCCCCGAATTCATCCTTAACATTCCGCGACTTGTCGAGGATCGCTTTTGGTGTGTGAATGCGTGTCATATCGGTGATTTAATTTCTCTGGGACGATAACTCGCGCGACGATGATGCGAAGTATCTGAGAGAGAGAGAGAGAAAGAGAGAGAGAGAACGAGAGAAAAGTGTAAATGTGTGATATTGCGAGAATGAAACGAAGCAAACATACACCTTAAAATCCAACAACGATAGTGAAGATGATGCTTGGAGAAGTATTAAACTCTTACTAACTTGACTTTCCGTTATTGTAGACACACCGTGTGATAGCTGTCTTGTAATATTACTACGAAGTATTATTGTCCGAGTCCTGTTTCGCGCGAGAGAGTGAATCGCGAATCACACACAGAGACTCCGCATAAGACTCCATATAAATAATAGTCTCTTCAGTTTGTATGTATTCTGATGAATATAGTGTATCGTCGTCATCTCGGTTATAATTTTTGTCTAACGAAAAGTACTTACCTAAGTACTTATCTCTAAGATGGGGTCGCGTTTAATTGTCGCCGCTTAATAGTCGATAACAGATGTATTTCCAAAGTTGTTATAACCAGTAGTCAGAAAAAAAAATCTTCGTGTATGTGAGAGAGATGATATACGACGGGAAGGATGCATGAGCGCGGATACAAGAAAAAAAAAAAAGCGGGTTGACGAGGCTGAGGGAAGCGAAAGAAGAAGCGTTAATGCAATCCGTTCGGAGCGAACGTTTCATGGATCGCAGCTGATCGTCGTGATGATTCGAGCCGCGCAATTAAGTCGTGCAATTCGTGTAGATCAATCAACGTCATATGAATCAACGTCGATGTCTTTGCAAATCTAAGTACGTTATTATATATCGGTTTGCTCTAAGAATACAATCTGTGAAAAAGATTTAAAGAAAACAATTCTGTAACGTGCGTGGTATAGTATGCGAGTATTTTGTTTGTTTTTTTTTTTTTTTTATAATTTCTAATTTTTTCCGACGTTTGAAGAATCAAACTTGCTGTGCTCGGCAATCTAGTTCTTAATTAACAACAGAAAAAAATCTTTCTCTGATGTACCTCATGCTCTAGTCAAAAAATGATCGGCGAATTACTTGTCGCGAGTCATCTGCGATCCTCCGCGTTTTAGATATCGATACAACACTTAAAAAAAAAAAAGAAAAAAAAGAAAAAAAAACTATGTCGTACTGTTTACGTGTAGATGTATAAAAAAAAAAAAAAAAAAAAATGCATAGATGCCGTCGTTTTAGCGATCAATCACTTTGGGCTTGCGACATCATCACAGTTAGTAATTTACGGTCGTAAATATATCGATTCTTGCTGTGCATCGGACGATCAGAAGGCGATAATTCGCTCGCAAACCGATCGTCGGTAATCGTACAATTTTTAAGCGTATAGGAGAATGTTACGTGTGCAACGTGTTAAACAATGGTGTACCGCCACTCGTTATGGACATGCTTCTGCATAACTGTTCGTATTGTTTTGTTCGCGCGAAAGAATGAAGGCGTGAATGCGCGAGAAAGACGTCGATTAAAAAAGGAAACGGAAGAGACGACGGATGAGTCAAACGATCAAAAAATTGATTGAGTTTAGCAATTTTCACTACTTTTTAAACTACGTATATGTCGCGTACTTATTGCAAACGCGCGTGAGTTTTTAATCGCCGCGCGCGTTGTATTTACGTGTATTTTTGATGACGATAAGCGCGCACGTACGTCGACGTTGTATTTTCGTTACGGTGAGAAAAACAAAAACAAAAAAACAAAAAAAAATGAAAAGCACACGACATTCCATCTGCATTTCCTGCTGTTCGCTGATTCACACGAATTCACGTTTGTGTTTTTGTCCGCTTAGAATCGAGAAGAAAACGAAGTCGAACTCGATGTAAATCGCTCCCAATTTGTAAACCATAGATACGGTGAAAAAAAAAAACAAAAAAAAACTTAGTGGTCAAATTGCGAGGTACAATGAATTTCAAATATTCGCGAGGATACGACGTGTGTGCGATGAGAGAGAGAGAGAGAGAGCGCGGCAGAATATTTTTCGCATTATTCCGATGTGTGTAACGCGAGGGCGCAGCGTAACGGGTGAGAATGCGAATGGGGATGACAGGTCAAGTGTCGCGTAAGAAAGAGTTTTTATATTTGTTTATAGATGTGTGAGAATGTGCTGCACTCTTTAAGCAAGTTGTTAGTGAATTCCCTCCATATTGCTAATATATACATAAAGAGTTAACTCAGATCGATTTCTGTCCGTACTTGAGAGCATTCAGTACACACACAAAAAAAAAAAAAAAAATATCGCTACTATTTTAAATAACGCTAAGTACAACGCTACAAGAGAGAGTTTTTGCCTATATTATTATTACGATTACGATTTATTGTCTCTCATCATTATTATTGATATTCTTATTATTATACGATTGTGGCTACATTTAACGTACTTAATATTAACGACTTATCTATACAAGAGCATAGATTTGTATATTCGTCGGATAAGGCCCTTAATGTTTATGCGCGTGTTAAGCGATAACTTTACTTATTTACATTATACGAAGAAAGAAACAAAAAAAAAAAAAGAAAAAAAGAAAAAAAAAGAAATGAAATTAAGGCCCAAGGTAATAGGAAAACTAAAGTGTAAAGTTTTATCCGGTTTGTTCACACACGTACGTCGCGAGCTGCCCGTAGAAGTATTTACATCTAGATTAAATCGACGCGTTTATTAATGTCAAAAAAAAAAATCACGGGCGAGACGAGGGAGAAGAAGCGACGCTGCAAAACACGCGATATAACACTCAAGCGCTTACTTAATTAGGCTCATATACATTACCCTATCTTAAAACACCTCGTTTTTAAGTCTCTCAAAGATAATTTAAGAGTGACGCGGGAGAGAGAGAGAGTCAACGCGTAAGCTGTAACGAGAGAAAGCTCAACATGATTGTAGATGAACGTGTTTCGATTTTTTTGCGAAAGAGTGAGAGACAGAAAGCGCAACCAAAAAGAAAACTTGAAAAAGCTTTCGTCGACGTATGATCAGTTTTTTACATCACACACACACATATATATATATATATATACACACACACGTCAAGTCAATATATATAGACACATCAGCCATAAATAAAAAAAAAAAAAAGTTGGAGCAACCTCGATCGCGCGGATCCACGATGGGCGTTGTCGAAGCTCGTTTGCACCCAGACAATGTTTTATAAGCACCGACTCGGTTTTTCTTACCTTCCCCTCCGAACAAAAAAAAAAACAAAAAAACAAAAAAACCAACGCGAATTTTAAAAAGTCGCGTATGAACGTTCCATCCCGCGTCCCGCGAATCATGGTTGAGCTCTTTCAATTTACGGATCACCGTTATTACCGCGCGCGGTTGCATCTCTCGTCGGGATCGAGCTCGCGATCGATTACGGACGATTTCTAACGGGCGAGCATTTCGAATTAGAGACACGCGCGGCGAGACAGACAGATAGAGAGAGAGAAGTAAGAGAAAGAGTATTACGTACGCGACGAATCGATTGTGTTCGTGAAGAAAATGCGGTTAGAGGCCTAATTATTTTGCTGGCGACGTTACAGCGCGTTCGTAACGGTCCCGACGCTCGATCGGTGAATGTAGAATAGCGCNATTACGTACGCGACGAATCGATTGTGTTCGTGAAGAAAATGCGGTTAGAGGCCTAATTATTTTGCTGGCGACGTTACAGCGCGTTCGTAACGGTCACGACGCACGATCGGTCACTGTAGAATAGCGCACCGTAAAAAAAAAAAAAAAAAAAAAAAAAAAAAAATAGCATCGACACTCGTTTCGTATGATTTTCTCGCGACGAAGCCAAACCGCGATTCGAGCCGCGTGAAATCGACGATCGCGATCGTCGTCGCACGACGGTAACAACGCGCGGTGCAAGATTTATTCCCGCCACTTTTACGAAGTACTTACTTAGATAGAGGGAGTACTTAAGTCGTTGCTACATACCAGTATATAAGCTCTATCGCTTATTTTATACTTAGAGGTATTGTAATGTTTCGAATTAGAAGATTAACATAATGGGAAAGTTGTATCTTAGCATAAGGTAGAATAATCTGTAAAGATAAGTAGTCAAATAAATGAAAAGTACATTTGATGTTGCAGACGATCTTTCTTCTTTATGGCTCGGATCTCCTTCGACAATATTACCACTGAACCGCTTGCTTAGTCGTTATTTTCTGTGCTGTAATAAAAGATTTTAACTACACGCAAGAGCGAAATAAAACTCGAAATGAATACGATCTTGTGAAATAAAATGTTCTCCGGCTCGTAACAAAAATTTCAAAACGACGAGTGATGTAGTTGAGCAGTTTCAAACCGGGTACAGGATATTGTGTGCAATAAATTTCAATAAAATTTAACTCTTTATACCTTTTGACTTTATTCTTTTATCACGAGTCGTTATCAGTGGAACAGTTTTTTTTACAGTAAACGACATATGGCAGAATTCAGTTGGAAATGCAAATTAAAAAGAACCCACAAGTCCACTGTACATTACAATATAATAAAAAGTTGTAAAATATAAAAAAATGTAAACATACCTCAAACTGCCATGTCTTCACAACGATACGACGATATTGTTAAATATTAGGTTAAGATGTCATTTTCGTAAAATTGTTATCAACGTGATAAAAAAATTACTGATACTAGCGCAAGACAGGTGCGCGTTACGCGCGCGCTAACATTGTTTTTTATTTTAACGTGTTGTGTCAGTGAACACAACCTGTTACCGCGATGACAGCTAGTACATACTTCTTCTTCTTTGCTTAAATGGCGCGAAGTTTCTTTTCGAGAGGAGCAAATGCCAGTCTCTGAGACAGCTAGTATATACGTCTTACCATATAATACACATATGAGAAATGTTAGAAATAACGCATGAAAATCAAACTCGAAAAAAAGTGAGAGGGATGAATGGAAAAACAACACGTGACTTTGGTCACGAGTCAAATCTCTGAATAAAGAAGAATTTTACCCAAAAACATCAGATGTACAGCTCGTCATTGCTTTCTCCATTTCTTCTTATTGGAATAATAATAACGCTTCTGCACAAACGTGAATTTCTCACTTCGAAACTTTATCGTCGCATATCTTCAAATTTAAAAGCGCAAACAAAAAAACGCAAGAATACCTTTGTTTTTAGTATTTTGTTCAGTATCGATTGAGACTAAAACAAAATTGACCGGTTCAGTCGTTCTTGAGATATTCGTGAAAATCTTCTTCGTGAAAATCTCCTCTAATCAGCGTCGAGATAAGAGCGGCAACGATCTCAATATCGAGAGAATCGAATGTGATTATTTTTACACGCTTTTTCTGGTAGGATAAGAATTTACTGATGTAATGTACTGATGTGTATTGCAACCAATGAAAACGATTGGAGCTTCTTTACATAGCAACTGACCTATGGTTACTATAAACAGACACCGCGTTCCAATATTCACTGCCGGTACTAAAAATCTATACTTCCCGTTACACGTGCTACAGATTTCCATTACTGGCGGTGAATATCGGAACGCAGCCGCAGTCATTTAATTATTTTTCACGCGCATTCAATTGACAACACATTCAATCTTCGCTTACACATCATTCATTGCTTACACTTTTTGACTCGGAATCGATTTCTTCAGTTCTTGTTTTCTTCGTTCTATTTATTCAAGTTTATAATTGATTTTTTCACAAGTATAAATAAGAGAAACAACAGTTAATAATAAGAAACAACAGTAACAATTATAAGAAGAAACAACAGTTTGGCGACGAGGATCATGGAAACATATCGTGAAACACTTCTGACTTTAATTCGGCAACAACAATCCTGGTCGCGACAGCAGGAACAGTTCTATTTGCTGGCAAGTTCCATCACGGAATTCGCTTACGATCCTGAAAATGGTTTGACGTTTGATGCGTGGTTTGTCCGCTATCAAAGATTATTTTCGATCGACGCCAAAGATCTTGACGACGCTGCAAAGGTCAGATTACTTTTACGTAAACTCAGCACTCCTATACATGAGCGGTACGTAAACTACATATTACCAAAAGAGTATAAAGATTTTGATTTCGCAACTACCGTTCAAAAACTCACATATATGTTCGGAGATAAAATATCACTCTTTCGTCAACGTTACAATTGTGTAAACACAACAAAATCGTCGCGACACGATTTCTGGTCATACGCGGTTCTTGTCAATAAACGTTGTGAAGAATTCAAATTATCAACAATTACAGCCGATCAATTCAAATGTCTTATATTTGTACGTGGTCTATGTTCTCCAACAGATATCGACATAAAAACAGAATTGCTAACTTTGATAGATACTAAGTCAGATACAATCACTTTAAATGATTTAGCGATTGAGTGTCAGCGATTGGTCAATTTGAAAGAAGATGCCGCGTTGATTCAGAATCAACAACCTAACGTAGATACGAGTGTGGTTGTTCATTCTAAAAACAAATTACGAAGAAGATGTAAAAAACAACAATATCAGAGCAAACAAGCAGAAAACGATTTATCAGATAAAAAACCATCCACACCGTGCTGGTTTTGCGGCAACTTACATTATTCGAAGTACTGCACTTACAAGACTCATAAATGTCAAAAATGTAAAACTGTCGGGCACCGGGATGGCTACTGCGCATCCAGCAAAAAGGCCAAACCTAAAACAAGATGATTCGTCAAAAAAAGTGTAAAAAAAACTATTCACTCAGACGTAATCAAATTACGTCTAATTTCAGTCGAAAATTTATTGACGTTTCAATAAACTCATAACCAATAACAGTTGCAATTTGATACAGACAGATCATAAACCTCTTTTACAGATCATTAGCGATAAAAAGAGAATTCCAATTTATATTGCCAATTGTTTTCAGCGTTGGGCTCTGCAGTTATTATCTTATGAGTTTACGATAATCGAAAGCACGGTGAAAAACCCAAGAACCTCACTCCCGGTACACAAATCTGATGTTCAGATTTATGTAGAAATTCAATAACAAGTCCAATAACAAGCAAACATGAATTCCTGGAGAAATTATCGAACGAGTTAGAAAAGTACCGTTCAATATACTTGTCAACGCACGAAGTCGATTAGTTCAAGCACATAAAAATTAATTAAAATTGAAGTTCGATGACAATGGTTCCAATATTGGAGAAAGTTCTCAATGAGACAATCGAAGTATTAATTAACGCTTTTGATTTTCAAGAAAGAACACTTCAAGAAACACAAGAAACATCAAATTTACAGAAGACACCGGATCTTCAACTTCAAGAGGACTCTTTAACTTCAAGAGAACTTATTTCAATCTTGTCGAGAAAATAGAGAGTCCACACAATATCGGATTCTCTCTCCACTCATTCCGTTTCTTCTAGTCCAACCCGGCGCTCAAAACGAAAAGTCCAATAAAATTCAAAGACCACACTCGTGCAGATCTCAAAAGGGAGAAATAACGCAACCAATAAAAACGATTGTATTGCTTCTTACATAGCAGTATGTAGTGACTATGTTCGATATAAATAATCGTTCAATTATTTCCCACGCACATTCAATCTTCATCGTTCATTGCTTGACACATCAATCATTGCAAAACACTTTTTGACTCGGAGTTAGTTCCTCAGTTCTTGTTTTCTTTGTTTTATTTATTCAAGTTTTTTTTTTATAATAAAAAACACAAAAAAGAGAATCGTCAATATTAAGAAAAGAATCGATAGTCGAAAGAATAAATAAAGATAATAACATGTTCAAATATACGGAGAGTTAATTTTATTGCACAATTTATTGCGCGCACATTTTGTTATCCAGTTCGAATTGTTCAACTATCACTTGTCGTTTTAAAACTTGAAAGTTTATGATCTCGGAAAAAAATCGAATCAAAAAAACATTACTGGCGGTTTCCTCAGACTTTTGTTCCAAAAAGTATCAATCTTGTTACATTGTCAATAAATATTATACCGTGAGTAAATTTCGATTTGTCACAAGGAAGGCTTCGATTGCCGTTACACGGCGAAGCAGTGTGAGAACAGAAAAAACAAAGCTACTGATCTGGCAGTCCATAGTTTTCTATCTAGACATAGTCAAAGCTCGGACTGGTGAATCTACTTTTTTTTTTATAACTAAATGTAATTTTGTTTTCAAATGTACAAGTTTTTGCAAAATGAAAGAAGATAAGGAAAAAAAATGATAACGCAAGATCATACATTACTGATTTATTTATATCATTCACAATCATAACACGGAGCATTGCTCAAATATACAATATAGATATGCATTCGTTAGAAAAGTATACACATCGTTAATATATTATTGTTATTTGCCCATAAATTAACTACATACGCGAATACAATCGCTTTTATAATTAGAGTAGGTTTTAAACCTCATTGTTCTTCTCGATTTGAATACACGTTAACATACATGAATACATTACAATGCACATGCACTTATTTTAAATATGCTTTTTTTTTTTATACTTATAGATACACGATAGATATGTATTTTTTGTTTTTATAATTTAGCACACGCGCGAGAACAATGTGATTACGCATTTTTTTTTGTTTTATATTTTGCAATTCACACAACCAAGCGTCTGTAATACTTACTTAATTAAAAACACGAAGTCGAATTGAGAATTTATATTATTCTTAAATTTACACGCGCTCTTCTCGTCATCTTACACGCTCTGGTTTGTATACGCCCGGAGTATAGTTGTTAGTTAACTTTATTATTATTATAATTTAACGTCTCGCATCCTGAGACGATGTAAAATAATTCATAATGGTGGGAACAAAATAACGTTGCACGCAGTTCCTTGTCTGGATTTATTTAAATCACTACTCTCAGTATATAGAGCGACTGTTTCACTTACTACATCAAGTCACTTGAGAAAGCTCAGTCCTGTGGTAGCATGACCCACTTGTACGAAAAATACAGTATCTTTGGTTTTTTTTTGTTTTTTGGCTTTTGTTTTTTTTTTTGTTTTTTTTTTTTTAAATCCATGGGCATCGCTGGAATAATGGAGCAGATGAAAAATTCTCAAGGATTTAGAAAGACACTTTTTTTTTGACAGCTTCTCTTACAGGCAGAGATTATATTGTGTAGTCAAAACGTATTGACTGTTTTCTTTTTCTCCCGGAAATGGATGTTTTTTTAGTTGGATACTCTCTCTCTCTAGGAATATTTTTGATATACGCGCGCAGACTGAAGTTTCTAACGTTAAGCACGTAAATCTCAGAAGATGATAATTTCAATCAAACTACCGTTACTATATACGCTATATTATATTACCGTAATGCGGTATTTGCTACATCGTTAACAGCACGTTACTGTGTTTGGCACATTGTATTTTTCTTCACAATCAGTATGATTCTTGATATATCACCAGTTTCAATAATTGCGATCACCTATACTTGCGTAGTATGATTCCTGTAATATGCGTAGATTACGTATATGTTTTGTGACGTAACTTGCACAATGTTTCTTTTCTTTGCACAATTGGAACCGAAGTTCAAGAAACTCAAAGTACGAAACTGAACTCTCAAGAGAGTAAAAAACAACTTGATAGTATAAATAATAACTAAGCTTTACTCTTGTAATAAATGATAGTCTCAGTTTGATTAAAAGTTTTATACACGTGTATCCACATTTTACATGTATCCATTTTCCAGAAACGCCCATATTTGTCAGGTGCTCGAAAATATTCTCCGTACATGCTGTATAAAACACGTGACGAGAGAAAAAGTCATGAAGAAACATATTAATATAATAAAAAATTCACATCGTGAAATACACGCTCGTGAAACTATAAAAAAAAAAAATTAAACGGAAAATTTCTTAAAAATTTATGCACGCGATGCATCTCGAAATCTGTCTCTTTTTTTTCTTGTAACATTATCTTTCTCAATTATATATCCTTAAATGTACGCATACACATAAGTAATATATCTGTATTTATGATGTATTAAAATTATATAGAACGGATCTACATTCTCTGTCCGTTCTCGGTTCTTCTAACGATACAATTTCTTACATGATCTAGATCTGTTGTTGTATATTATTATTTATTATCAAGTTCACAATCGAAGAGTCAGTTTCGCGTCAGTTGCAAAACGTACACGCGCGTGTACGAAGTACTGTTGTATATAATTAACATAATCTTCATTTTATATTTTTATATATATATATATACATATATATATATATACATATATATATACATGTATGTATATTATATATATATGTTGCTTGTATGTATATATGTGTGCCAGTACGTATATATTCAGATTACATTATCACAAACAGTTGTCGAACGTTACGTCTAAACATGTATCACGTTAATAGAACATTTGCGCAGAAGTGGTAGCGAGTATGAAATAATAAACGGGCGCATATATAGATTCGACGCGTTCGTTCCTTCCACCTTTATTATCTTAGAAATTTATCATATTCAATTGTACTCTCTCTCTCTCTCTCTCTCTCTCTCTCTCTCTCTCTCTTTCTCTCTAGCGCTAAAGCAATCTATCGTTAATAACTGTCTGCACTTTATTTCTCGCCTCGCCTTTATTGAGTATAAGGCCTTAATTTCTTTTCACGCGCGCGCATTTACATTCATCTTCTATAAAAACTTACCTATCTGATACATCGCACACGCAATTAATCTAAAGACATTAAAATACTATATCGTGTGTCATGTTCAACATTACATGTGAGATTATTACAGAGAAATTCTAGGGGGGAAAAACTCGGATGGAGATGCAACAACCTGCGTTTGAAAAAACGGTGCGGGACCAGCCTGCACTTGCAAAGAACATTGCTTGAGACACGAAGCAACGAAAATCCATCTCGTTTCCGTCACGATCGCAACATCCGAATCGACGGAATTGAGCAAAACGTGTATATATATATATATATATTTCCGGGAATTACATCGGTGTATTATATTCGTATACGTCGTCGAATCGTTTATTATTTCATGCCTGCTGCACGAGGTAAGGTTTCGCAAAGCACAGATTTCGCCTTCCGGCTCTCTAAGACAGAAGTTGTACTTAAGTCAGTCAAGCGACATGCATTAAGTGACGACAGAAGGAGACGACGTCCAAGCCGGCGTTCGACAATATTTTCGAACCTTTTCTGCAAGGGTTACTTTCCGCCTTTTGTCTTCATCTGCAATGCGAAGCATATACGCCGATAACAATTAATTTTCATCGTCTTGTCGCGCGCGCATATAATATATAGATTTTTATTCCCATCGGCACAAGCAAACGAAATGATGAGAGATTTTCATTGACTCACCTGTTGCTGTTTAAGCAGCTCAGGCTCACCGGAAGTGGCTGCGAATCCACGTCTGGAATATGACCGGACACGGTTTCCGTCAATGGGTACCACTGGGCCACCGGTTTCCTCGGATTATCCAACATCTCCAGCCAGTGATCGCGACCGATTCCGATAAAACTCGAGCCAATCGCCGTGCATCCCATCAATTCGTTCGATCCAATTCTAATAATTGATAAAATAAAGCAAAATATTAAGTACAATTTATATTAAGAGAGTCAGTATTAAAGAGAACATTCAAGAGAAAGAAAGAAAGAAATTTTCTCTAACCTGTCGTAATCAATTACTTTCACTATAAGACTGACGTCTTCGATGTTGTCTGAGGGAACATCGAAAACAAGCGCCTCGTTATAAACGGGATAAAGAGTGTTCTTCTTCACCGTCGTCTTTTTCTTCTTTATTCTTTTGCCTTGGCATAGCAGGTAAACTTTTACGTACGGATCTGTACGTAAGAGAAACAAAAAAAAAATAAAAAGAAAAAGTTTAATTACAATCATAAAAAATATATCTTCTCCAAAACATCACCGTTGGGGAGAGATAGACGAATAAATTCGATACTGATATAATTTTTTTTTTCCGTAGGGTGCAAGTTTGTTCTATCGATAGAGAGAGAGAGAGAGAGAGAGAGAGAGAGAGAGTTTTGCAAAGGAAGAAAAAATAAATCTGATTTTCCGAGTCTCTGCTTTGTACGCACCTGATTTGCCCGTTATATCCATAGCCTTAAGATTCCTGGCTTTGATCACGGTTAACGTCAATCGACCGGCCGTTGGTAGATAGCACAAGGATAACATCAATTCTCCCAGATCTACTTTTTCCTGCGTGTAATAATCGAACAAAATCGAGAAGTCAAAAGTTTTTCATTCTGTAATTGTGTTTTAAAACAATTGTTTATTCGTGTCTCGCACGTTACCTGTAACGCGCAGAGGATGTCCATCGTATATTCAATTTCTTGCTCCAGATCGGTACAATCTAATAGACCCTTGAGAACTACTTGTCCAATGAGATCATGACGTGAAAACCGATCGAAATCGTAAACGGAAAATTGCAGGTAACGTTCCCTCAGTTCCTCGTACGACACGCTAACAAGATAAATTGTAACGTCGAGTTTATACTAACGTTAAGTTTGAGTATTTCCTTAATAATAATTACATCTCTATTCGGATGCGTGTATCGGAAAATCTTTCTATAAATAGCGTCGGTCTATATGTAAATTTTTCTGCAAATCTTTTTCTACAATTGACGTGGCGAATTGCGAATTACCTGAAGATGAACGTTTCGTTGAATATCGGATTCAAATTCTTTCGATGCACTTTTGTCTGGAACTTCTTCTTTCTGTCCGGCAACAGATACACTTTGATGTACGGATCGCTGCTACCGGTTACGTCTTTTATCGGCAATTCGCGAGCTTCCAGAACCTAAAATCCGTTTGCTCGTTATCAAATAAAATATTGACGTTAAAAAAAGAATTATGTTTTACATATGTTTATTTTTCTGAAAAGCATATACATTCCAAAAATACGAAGAAGAAAAGCACCTAAATGCTATTTTTCTTTCGGAAATGTTCGTTGTTTTTTTTTTTTGACACAGAGAAGAGAACGAGACTTTCTTCCTATAAATACACATACGAGCGCAACAGTTTCGTAACGCTGTTATTGTCTTTATATAAACAAAATTTATGTAATGCGAAACGCAACACATGTTAGCACAAATAAGATAATAATAGTCTCTCATATATTTAGATTCATCTGCCGTGAAACGTGGTCTGTCGTAAACGTAACTGATCTTAATACATTTGTGAATTTGCCGCGCAACAGAAATAGCTCGATGTAGCCCGACATTACCTAATCCGTGGTAATGCCACTACAGCGCGGGATATGTGTCCGTCACAAATGCAATATTCCGATACTTCATTATCGTTATCCAATATCTCGGGTGCGCTGAATATATAACCCACAGACATAGACACGTTCGCTCTGTGTATAAACCGCTAACTTTGAATACAAACTCACACAGAACAGTATTTTTTAATTATTGTTATTGTTTTTTCGGGTCTCTCCGAGACGAAGCCTCGCAATATATTCGCGCGCACGAACTTTGAAATATGTTTTTGCATTTTTATTCAAATTTTTTTTCTGTCTCTCTCGGATTAAGTAGATAAACTCTCTCGTTGTTGTTATTTTGTTGTTGCTTGGGTCAGCCTCGGGGGTATAATTTGTTCACGGAGATAAAAATATTACACAACACCCACCTTGACAACGAGTCCTTCCATTTCCTTATCGTAGCGAAGAGCGAAATGCAGTTTTCCAACGTATTCCATTTCCGTTGTGCTGGAACTTTCCGCGCTGTCTTGTCTCACAAGTTCTTTTTTATATAACTCCGGCTGCAATTTTAACAATTCGCAACGTCATCCTTCTTTTTCGTAAAAACAGCGCGTACGCGCGTAATTTCAATTATTCGTACGCGCACGATTTTTTATGCCACCTCATGTTATTTTCATTAAAGTGGAATCGGGCAACAAACAAAACGGAAAGAGTAATGTGGGACTTTGTGTGTGCGCGCGCGTCATGCGATAATCTTGTTTCAAAAGGAGTCGAATAACACCGCATCTCGTTGTTATTTGACATTCACATTTCAACGTTCATTATAAACGGGGAGTAACAGATATCGAGTTTATTTCGTCAAATACCTTGATCAGGCCAAGGCTGGAATCGCTCCGATTTTCGAAGCTGCAAATACTGAACTTGATGTTGGGCAAATCAAGACGGTGCGACAGTTGACGTTGAAAACTTTGATGCCTCATTGGCACGATGGGTAAAGTAGTTTGACGCAGCACCTGGCAAAATATTGACATTGAGACGATCGCGAAAACTTTCGCGAAACATATTTCGCTTGACTCTTGATTCCCCTGCTACTTAATTAAGCATATATCCACCTTCTTATTTTCCTTTTGCTCCTGAACGTATTCGTGAGTGATCGGTTTCGACTGAAGATCCGGAAGAGAGTGACTGATGCGGATCGCGTTCTGCTGAGTCTGATCGGTCTCGGTATCCTCGGTGCTCTCATGTCGAGTCATGCTCATTAACCATCGCCAAGTCGAGGAGCACTGAAAGCTCACGGCTGCCAGGAGGACCAGAAAGACCAAGGCCACTCCTGCTCCTACCAGAAGCTGATAGGGAAAGTTCTCGCTCCATTCGTCTGGAAAACGAAACGTTCGCAATTTGTCATACACACACATACACACACACACACGCGGCGGAAATAAATATTAATACAATCGTACATATTTTATGAAATGTTATAACACACACACACATGAAGAAGAGAGTACGTATATACGATAATAAAAGATTTACATAATGTAATCGCGCGATAAGAGATAGTTTTCCGATACACACACTTTTATCCTGTTTCTGAAGACTCATGGAAAGCTATTTAAATTCTCTCCTCGGAATGTTACACACACACCCACGTCAACTGCGTAGACGGACCGTGACGCGGTGAAAGGAATAAAATGTTCACTTCTATCGCCGTGAAACATTGAACCGTGCGATTTAGGTAACGCATAATAGAAAATCACGTTGTTGCGCACAATAATTTATTAATTGCACCGGTGTTGTATCGTGTAATTTTTTAAATTACTTATTTTAATTAGAAAGGGGTGCAACACGTTCGCGCATCAACAAAGAAAAAGCAAAGATCTCGCGTAACTTTCATCACGGGTTTGCGTAATATGTAGAAAAAAAAAAAAAAAAAGAGGATGCAAATGAGAAAGAGACTCCTTTAAGTAAATTGCGCGCGTGTGTTTGCGCGTAGTACGTAGCGTTGTGCGCATCTTATGCGGACAAAGAGAAAGGTATCCTTGCTTTGGCCAGTGCAAATGAAGAGAGGCTGCGCGCTTTGTGGTTAAACGAGCTTTCCGTTCTCGTTTTACGCCAAGAACAATGTGTGTCTTGCCAACGACAGAAATATCTTTGTTTTTATCTTAACGTGATACAACTCACCAGTTACCTATGCTTCATGCTACATACAGTTTTACTCAACTTCGACAAGTTGTCAAATTTAAAAATTGCGCTAAAAAATCGAGTTTAAAAATATCTCCGCTCATTATTGTATTTAATTTCTTGTTCGCAAACAACTTTTACTTTTAGAAGATAAAATTTTGAACAAGAATTTTTTAAATGTTTTTAATGGTACAACGGTTTCTGTCTTTTTTTCTGTTCTCGGACTGACAAGAGAAGAACGTACCTTACTATATACGTACTTATCGCCCGAAGTATTGCCACACACAGAATATTGTTATTTTGTTAGAAGTGAATCATCGCCATAGGCGTATCAAAAATAATAGACAAAGTATGTAGGAAGTAATGAGAGATCAATGCGCAATTGGTCATACGCACACACACACACAGAACCTTTGATTGACTAAATTGCGCACATCGCTTTTCTTCCTTTGTACTCTTTGCGTGCTACACGTATTGGTTGTTTAAAAAAAAAAAAAAAAAAAAAGCGAAAAGAGCGCACTATTCAAAGCGAATACTTTTTATCTTTGAAAACAATGAAATAAAACCAACAGACAAAAGGATGTGTGACATTTTTTTGCTTATCGCCACTTGCACAACGTGTATGAAATAGAGCCGTGCGACACAAGGGCGTGGGTAGCTTTATTGTTACAACATAACAAAGTTTTCCTTCGGTTTACTACGTTAACAGAAATCTCGCGTCGAGTTAACTTTTGCGTGCATCGCGTCGCGCTCTATTCCATCATGCTCGACTGAAATTACGTCGCGACTCGACGTAACGCTTTCCCATAAACAAGGATGGTTATTAAAAAAAAAAAAAAAAAAACAGACACACAAAGCAAAATTTCAGTCACGGAGCGAATCTGCTTCTGCAATATTAACACACCGCGGACGGATGACGAGATATCGCGTCAAAAGATATGATTTCTGATCCGTGTTAAAAATGTATATGTAATTAAAAAAAAAGAATATGTATTTTCACGCACATTTTTACTTATATTTTTTTGATTTCAATTTATAATATCTTCTGCTCTCTTTTACATTTTAACAAAACGATTCGCGTAGAAAAAAAAAAAACAAAAAAAACAAATCTCGTTGTTGTGCGGCTTTCATAGCCAGAGGGGAGACGAAGAGCGCTTTTAACGACATTGAAACCGAATGTCGTTGTGAGTTACGTCGCGCGTCCAGCGACGTTTTCTCTCTCCGTGTGTATTTACGTTGTGAGTAAAAGCGCCCCGTACTTGCGTGACGAAGTTTGCAGCACGAGTACGATTTACGAGATACTTATTCGTCTGTGTCGTACCGTGGAACCACGGTGTACGCAGTAAAGTGATTGATGACTTTGAGAGAGAATTACGAGGATAATGCCGTCACATGACTTTGTAATGTTTGCCTCGATCAGATAACATCTAAATTTTGTTTCCTGTCTATCCTGTCGTCCCTTTTCTCTCTCTCTCTCTCTCTCTCTCTCTCCCAAGAGAACAACAAAAATGGAAAACTTTGAAGTAGAATGTCACGGTTATTAAACAAGCAATTATTTGAAATTATATTTCCACAATATTTCCGTAAATTTGTCAGAACAGTTTAATAATACGATTAATAACACGAAATATAAATGCGATATCGTAATTGCAATTTGCTTTATTGTTTGATGATCGTTGATTTTATCTCATTTATTGCAAACAAATTATTTGACGCGTACGTACGCAAACAAGAAGTATTGGGAGAGAATGCCATTAACACTATATACGTATACACACAGGTAATACGTTTGTACAATTTCTGCGAACTATCATATGGAAATTCAATTTCTAAATCACAACACATCCCGTGTACAAGCAATAAACAATCCGAACTCGTTTCTCAGATTGTTTTTTGTTAGTCGATTTTTTTTTTTTTTATCTGCACTACGCGCAATATACGTACGCATTCGTCATCTCGTCAAAACATGACCAATATCTATCAATATCTCTTTTCGCATTTGCTATGCTCCTCTCTCTTTCATCCTGCAGGTGACGCGATCATCGTCCCTGACCCTTTCCCGACGTTGCAACTATGTCAATACATAAGCCCCGAATATATGGTTTATACCAGAACCAGATGTTAGAAAACACCCTTACAAGGCTACCACGGAATTTACGTTCTTTGTTTTCGCGCACGATCTATCCGCACGATCTTGTACAAATACAAAACGAGCGACACACGCGTTACACACAATCCCGAGAAATTTCATTTCTCACGCGGTTTTCGGTTAATTCCGCAGTCAGTAGATAAACCAGAAGAAATTCGCGATATTACCAGGGACCGCTGTACCGAAATGATCTTATACATTTGCGAGGACACGTACAGGCCTTGACCCTTCTTTCCATTTCCGACGTCTTTTCGTCCTGACTGTTTCTTTAGATGTTGTGCTCAGTCTTTCAGGTCTATTTCTTTTGTCGCATTCTTTCGCGAAAAACGTTTATAGAGACATGTTACTTCTGCGGTCTTTTGTATCCGATGCTGATCTTTGTGCGATCCCGACTTTTGTTTGGTTGCTAAAATTACGAGAGGAAGACACAAAAGTAAAACTGATGAGTTATTCTGAAACTGAACAAAAATAAAACTGATAAGTTATTCCAAAATATTTGATTTCAGTCATCTGTGGACAAAGCGGACAGCGCTAGTATTGACAACTTGAGAGTGTTGGTTTTATCATGAACGGCTTTTCTCAAGAGGATTGTCCCAGATTCGAAAACAGATGTGTCTCAAGCTTGGAAAATCAGGAGATTGGCAATCTCTTTATTTGCTTTATACGTTTCTTCGCAGATCTCTCTTAATCTTCGAACGCTTATACACGTCACATCGTATTTATTAAACTTATTAAAGACGATCTATGTGTGCGTTGCGTATCTGCGCTCGCACACACACAAACAGATCTTGAAATTACTAATTGATGATGTATCATATATATAAGCAATATGTGATCTGCATATTATATATATATCGTAATCAGAGCTGGGTAATATTGAACAAGAAAATATTTCAAATATAATTTTAAATAATAGATTTTTCACAATTCAAATAAAATAGTATTCAAAATAAGAAGTGAAATTTCAACGAATAACGTATTTTTATTGTGCTAATCCAGAATATAAAATAAAATATTTTTTCTTGCTCTTTTTAGAAAATATTTTATTTTGATAATTTCAAGCCCCTAAAATAAAATATTTTTTCACTGCGGAAGAAACTTAACAACACGCTTGAAAACACGCTTATTCATGTAAATTTCTTGCATTTTTAAATTATCTTTTTTTATCATTTATTTTGTCAGAAACTATTCTATATATTTATACAGAGATATATAATGCAATATTTATAACATATATACTAATATTTAAAATATCCTAAAATATTTCAATTATATTACATATTTGTGACACGAATATTTTGAGTACCATTTAAATAAAATACTATCTCAAGTAATATTTTCAAAATTTTTTCCAAATAAAATATTCTATTTGCAGAAGTATATGTAATGGACAAAAATAAAATATGTATTTTCTATTTACAATTTAAAATACTATTTTACCCAACTCTGATCGTAATAGAGATTGTAAATATAATGTATAGAAAACTTTCTCATTAAATCAGCTAACAAATACCTACATTTATTTTAATAATACAAATTAAAGAGGGAAGGCCAATAGAAGAGCGTACACTGGTGGTGGTGTTCGATATTTATTATTACAATTTTTATTATATTAAGATAATTCAATGTTTCAACCTCTGATTTGGATCTTTATCAAGCAACTGATGAATATTACATAGAATGATATTACAATATCTTAAATCAAAGATCAGATCTTGTGTAAAGTATATTATTTACATTTTTTTGATTACTTACATTTATTTCATGCTTAAGTGCGTTAAAAGGATGTTAAATATTAGATTAGGTTGTAATCATGTTGTAGTTTAACGCAAAACGCACGTTTATCTTTTATTTAAAACCGTAACATGTCGTCAATGCTTGCGAGACACGCTATATACGTAACTTCTGTTAGATTGAAGTTATAACCGATAATAAAAAAAAACAAAACAAATGTTAGCAAACCGTATCTCGATAACAAAACATCTCTCGATCTTCATATAATCCTGTGTACACGCGTATCAAAATATCGCACGCAATCGCACATTTATTGCGCAATAGTTACACATGTATATGTCACAAGGTCGGATATATATCAAAAACGAGATATATCAATAACCAACAACTGCTATGGACACTTTAGATGATATATTTGACTTCGAAGCAGCACAAAAACGACAAGAGCGTTGTGATTTGACAACTAAAAATGGAAAACCCGAATTTAGACCCTGGCGTATCTTCGTCAATCATGTCGACAGCTATCACGGAAAGATATTAGTTGATGTAGGGAGAGATATCGCGGTTTTTATAAATAAAAACTTTACAATATTTATTTCGATAAAATGTTAATGTCGGATTAATGTTATCGTAACGCCGACGTGCGACGGTCAAGAAAAAAACTTAATTGGAGAATCTCATATCTTTGTTTTAATTATACTCAATCAAAACAATCATCGCGTGAACTCGGTCGCTTTGTATTATTTTACGGAGATAATGTGAAAAATAACGAGGCGATTATTATTATTACTTTTGCAGGTTATCCTGGAGAGATTGTTCATAGCGTAAAGCCTTTCTCAAAAGTCTGTTATTTTTATCGTTATAACGTCGTCCATCTCATAAAACAAATGTTTGTAGTTTAACAAATTAAAATTGCAGCTAAAATTACATCGATACATTATTGCTTTGATGAAAAAAAGCTAAAAAAAAAAAAATAAAAAAAAACCTGTAGATACAAACAATGCAAATTGTTTCAAAAGCAGAATTGCAGATATAAAAGCAGACGCTGAATCGACGAGTAACGTTCTTTATTCGAAGTTTGAACTTAATAACCTGTAATTGCATTTTTTTTCTGCCAGGATTTTTCCAATTGAAGTCGTAATTGAAAAATCGCGTCTGATAAGAATAATGTTTTTTTTTTGTTTCACAAAAAGCTTTGCAGAATATGTTTTGAACATTCTATCTTGTAATTTGCCATTGAAACCGAAATGTGTTTTTGTGTTTGATATTTTAATTATGATTAAAATGTCCTTGATGTACATGTGATTAATATTTCGCGATATAATTTACATACTACAACGTTCAGGTACTGTCAGAGAGCGTATATATCGATCCGCTAAGTGCGCGTGCAAATGAGGAAGATGAAAAACTCGAGGACGACGACATAGATCCGAAAGAAAAAGAAGAAGAAAAAGAAGAAGAGAGAGAAAAAAGAAAGCGGCCGGGCAAGAGTCCGGAGGTTTCGAGAAAATACGAAGTGATCGGTACAGTTCTGGATCGCGAAGTAATATCCCCATGTTTCTTGATGATCAAGTAACTTCGATTAACGAGTTTACTTTTCTCCGATATCTCTCTTTTTTCGCGATCGCGTTTAGAGAAAGAGTTTTATTTATATTCCTGCGTTTTTCGCGCATAACACATCGCGATCTAAAATCATTAAACGTATGCAAAAACGTATTTCGATTGATGTGGATTTGAGTGTTTCCACTCTATCGAACGCGTTTATTTGCTTTCGCGTGTCATTATGGATGCTATTGTGTTTCTCTCGCGTGATACTAGAATTAGTAATGAAATCGGACAAAGGAAAGTGCAAAAGTCGAACGAGTCGGCGTGGAAAAAGTCGGCTCTGTTTGCACGTAATGCCATATTTGAGTGCTAATTGATCTTTGACATTGTTCGACAGTACTCGTGCTCGGAGAATGTGACAGTGATTAAAAGACACTCGGACAACAAAGACGCCTTTTTATCGGAGCTAATCACCTGCGGTGTGATTATCTACGATATTACTCAGGATCCAGGTCAAATCGAAGAGGCATGCTGGATTCTGAAAGGTTTCCGTTAATACAAATTTGTATTGCATCAATTTGCAGCGAGAAGAGAGACACGATGACTCGTAAATACTTTCTTTCTCTTAACGAAGAAGTTCGTTGAATTTTTTTACAGTTACAGTACACTTTGCGAACGTCAAATCAAATTTGTTTAACTTGTATAGTTTCGTCTCATGCAAATTTATACGTCACGGGACAGGGTTCGAAAGTGGAACTCGCTGTTTTAATTAATCAAGCAAAGACGGTGATATTTAATTATCCGTTCTTTACGACGACTCTTCTCTGTATGTTTACAAAAAGAGTAGAAAGGACAATGTTGAAATATATTAATTATATTAGTTTACATACGCATTTATTTTTACCAGCAAAATGTAAAAAAAAAAAAAAAAAAAACACGTACATCTTTAAAAGTTGCAGAAAAATAGAATTTAGAATAATTAAAACAGACGCAATAGCATTTCAAAATATAATTTCAAAATGTAATAATAGATGAAAGTTCTTTGTAACAGAGCTATAGAGTAAACTAGTAGTTTTATTGCTTGCTTAAAAAGAAAGTTGCGGTCACGTACAACTCTCTTATCGACGTAGTGAGAAAAGCCTTCTCTGGCTTTCAGAAATCGTTCGCACTCTAGAAGGTATGGAGAAGAAATCGCCAAAAGCGTTCGAACGAGAAGAACCAACACGACACTTTATTTTGATCTCCACCATCATGACATGGGCTCGCTCGAAACCGTTAGATCCAAGAGCTGCGGATTTACCGTTCACAGAAGCCGGCTATCGTAAACGGAAAGCTCATCCGAATTACAAAGAACACATGCGATGCGAACGGGAGTTTGTGGCGGTGATGAAAATTGCCAACTTAAAGAATAAATTAAAAATCGTGGTTATTTGCTGCGGCATCACGTACGGCGAGGAACAAGGTCCGCTTCATTATCTCTTCAAAATGGCCTGGCAGAACGCGCCTTTCCTACCGGTATTTGGCAACGGACAGAATTTAATACCTCTTTTACACGTTCGCGATTTGGCCTCGTAAGTGATAGAAAAACAAACAAATATTATTTATCTCTCGTGTTCAAAAAATGTTTACTCTATTTGTGTACACCAAATATTTTATTTTTTCTACATATTTGTTATACAATATATATACAATATATATATGTATATACTCTATGTGTGTCGAATATCGGTACTCTGCTTCCTGGAACACGTACAAGTTTCTAATTATTCGACTGGCCAGAGATCCGCTTAATGTTACAAGTAATTTGATTTTCAGAACAGTATCCGCGGTAGTGCAAAATTGGCCACCGGTTTCGTATATCGTGGCCGTGGAACGAAAACTAATCTCTCAAGATGAAATCGTTAAGGTATGAGCTTCTCCGCGCAAAGCGCACGTTCCGGCTAAAATTCGCATTAAGCGAAAATTTTATCACATCTGTTTTCTATCACAATCGTATTTTTCTCGCTGTGTTTGCGAAGAAAAATAAAAACATTGTATTTAAAAAATGTATAAAATCAACAAGAAGAAAATTAACAAAAAACAAGATGAAAATGTACGGTTGCAATAATAGAAGAGCTGTAGAGATAACAGTAAATCCGCGGTCTCGCCATTGTTTTTTATCGTGTTATTTTCTACATAAATGTATATCGAGTTAGTTACTCGCACACGGGGGGGTTGTCTTTAGTAATTCGCTTTATATTTCGTTTTATCGGCGCAAAACCAGTTTTTGAAACATCGTTCGTCCTACTTGCGCAAACTGGTTTATGCAAGTAATGCGAGGAAAAGAATCAAGCAGTTTAGAGAACGCTTAACGAGCGTTCCGAAAGATTGCGGAAACATTAGTTGTTCTCCATAACTTGCAAACGCGTTTTCCACACTGTGAACATTTACGATATATCGCGCGCAAACTGTTGTACGCGACGCGCAACGCTTCGTAAAATATACGCACGTTGTAAAAATACACGCACAACAATAGTTATTACATTTTTGTTTTTATGCGATCCACATCTTTAGAGATAGACTTTTTTAATGTTTTTTTTTTTTTTTTTTT